TTTGATATAAGTAAGTGATTAAAAAATCAAAGCAAAATGATAATATATTGCAGAAGAAATACAAATGAATTGAGGTTTTAGTACCCTCTTGGGGCACTTCTAGCACGATTACAGGATATGATACGGTCGGGCATTGTGGCATAAAAGTCCATTATGAAGTCCTTGGCATCTGATTCCACAATTGTACCACAATTCAACCTTCTCGTTCCACAATTCAACCTCTAAATCGTCTAGTTTCGGAGGCAGTTCAACTTGCCGTCCAAAGTGGTCCCAGGTATACTCGTTTGTGCGCAAATCTGGGGAACTGGGGATTGGGCTAACCTAGAAAGAGTGATTATTTGTTGGAGGTATTCCTGTGACACCCTTGCAGTGTGTGGCCGAGCATTGCTTGTTTTTATTTTATTTAACCGTCGTTGAACAGCCGATCCAGTTTTTGTTTTACGACAATTAATGTTCAACGCCGTAGCTTTGTAATTTTGAATCCAATCCAGAAGACAAGGGAACTACTGGATCAAGTATTGGGAGAAATTTTGCCTTCGTAGAGCACTTTTTTGATGGAGCTAACCCTCATTTGAGTTACATGGAGACGAAAACCATGAAAACCTCCCACGGTTTGTGTGACGGCAAGAGGACTCTGACCCATGATCCGACAACCACTGAGAATATTTCAAGTGAGCTCTGTGGTCGGTGCAAGCCGGATGCGGAATTAGTATCGACCAGGGGATTCGATTCGAACCCGGGTAGCCTCATTTGGAGGGCAACGCTCTATCCCCTGAGCCATCACGACTCTCAATTGAGATATAAAAAAACATTAAGTTCTATAACCTGTTCATCAATAAATTTCCTAATTGTGGTAAATCTTGACTATCATGTATTTGCTGTTATCGCTAACATTATTTTCGGTGGAGCATAGATAATCATTCTTTCGATGACTTGAACTTTAAAGCTCGTTCTGCATAATTTAATTGTCCCGCAGTGGACTGATCGTTAAGACACGGTTCCCAGCAGATCACCGAAGTCAAGCATCACTGGCTACGGTCAGTGTGCGGGTGGGTGACCACTTGGATCAGTCTGCGTAGGGACCGAGGGTGTGCGGTATTGGTCCTCGTTAAACTGTGCTACCGTAAAGTGCTCGACTTCGCGCGCAGGTCGTCGGGCTACTGAAGCGGGGGTGCCATCCCTTCCTCAGAGGATCAAAATTGCGATGGCATGTCTTCGGATCGTCCTCCGGGATGTTTCCCAGACCGTCGCCAATAGCCCATTGTGCAGCTCTAGTGCGACGTAAAGTAACAACAACAACAACAACATAATTTAATTGCACAAAATCGACAAGAAGTGCTTAAGGCAATTTCTTTTTTCTTTTTTTTAATGAAGTTATATTTTATTTTATTTTATAACCGTCGTTGAACAGCCGACCCAATTTCATGGGTTTACGACTACTTACGTTCAACTCCGTAGCCTTGTAATTTTGAACCAATTCAGAAGACAAGGAAACTCCTGGATCAGTACCCCCAGAGGTATTGATTTGTTGTGGGAACATGGAGGACTTTGAGACTCGACAGATTTAACGTGCATCAGTCACCATTTACTACACGGGGAGTCTCGGCCGGCGAGGATCGAATCCACGACCTCTTGGATATGGGCCCAGCGCCCTACCGACCAGGCTATCCCGGCCCTAATGAAGTTATAATAAAAGTTTGAACTGTGCCTGTTTATGATTTTCAGTTTTGTGCACGATTGCTTAGTTTTAATATCGACTGCTACGATTTGTTTTGCCCCGTTCAAAGAAGGGACATTCTATTATAGAGTATATAATGAAAGTTAAAGGCTATATAAAACCAAGAACCTTTCGATGCATGAACAATCACGGGGGGAAAAATCGTATTTCATATTTAAAAAAGAAATCAATGTTTTTAAAATCATAATCCAAACGAAAATGATGAAATAAATGATTTGTATCTACGCAATGGAGCTTCGTTACAAGTACACAGTAAAAGCTATGTTCGCTGAATTTGTGCTTTCTGACTTTGGTGTTGAACAACATTAAAAAGAAATTATCTGCAGGAACTTTTTATTCCAAGTTGACATCAAACTGAACGCGCAATTACACTTGTGTACAATCGTGTACGAAATGCCTGTTGTTTTGCCACGCTGCTATAAACCTACAAAAACAAAAATTCGTGGTTACAAAAATGTACGTATATTTTTAGTAAGTGTAATATGAATAATTAAATTTTTAAGTTTGGTGGTATTCACTTCGCACCGAGCTACCTAGCTAGCCACCTAACCGTGCTCGGACTTCAACGATTCTGAAATTATGGAGGACATAACACTTTAGAGTTTGGATTTCGACTAACACACGAATGAAATCTAATCCAAAATGAAATCCAATCCATCACATAGCTTTTAGTACAAATAGTTGAAGTCGAACCCAGTCGTGAATGATGGTTATCAATTTAACATTTTAACCTGAATTTTACGAACATTATTATGATATAAATTGGATAATATATTTCTAATGGAAGGACATTTCAATGTATCCTCTTTTATCCAAATATCTACATATTTATTAAAAAATAAATAAATAAGGTAATTATAAAAAATGAAGGAAAGAAAGAATTTTTTATGTGCGTTACAATGTAACGTTGGTCATATTTGAAATATGATCCACCTATAAAAAAAAAAGCTATGAGATATGTTTTAGGGTCAAGATTCTTTGCGATATCTCTAAAAATAAGTAGAAAATTATTAAACATAATGTACACAAATCTTCAGTATCATTTTACCGTTTCAGTTTAAAGTTCGAAGGTTTGCAACACAACATGTTTTTCCTTATCTAATTCTCATCCATCAAAAATTAAAAAAGAAAGAAAAATACTGATAAATTGGACTTTTTTTATCCCCACGTTTCTAGGCACAACCCTTAAATCAACCAGTGGCAATAAAGTTTTGATAAGAATGCTTAAATTTAGAATGGTATCTAATTGTGCAAAGTTCAAAAAGTGTATTTGTTTCCGTTTTTGTAACACTTATCGGATATTGGCCTACACACTTCATATTTCAAACATTAAGTTAGTGTCTCGCAATAAAAACAACCATGTAAAGGTCAAATTACAATTATCTTATCAATAGTTGTGTCAACAACATCAGCACATAGCCTCATACTGAAAAACTAATAGCTTTGGCAAAATTCCATTAACAAAATTTGATATTCGTGTTTTAAGTTTCGAAGGTATTTCGTTATTAAATCAACTATTGTAACTGTTCAACATCTAGCAGTTTTAATGAAAATACTTAACTACTTAAAAATACTTAATTTCTACTAAGATCAAGTAGCAATTAATAGATGGAGTAGGAGTTAATAGGCATGAAACCAGAGAAAATATGAAAATATTATAATTATGCATATAATTTTTAAAAAAAAGTCTCTGGAAGGATATATATTTCGATTATTATTTTTTTTAGAAGTCAGTTGCATACAAAATTTCTCTTATAATTTAATATTTGAGTGTTGTCTATACTGGTCGAAAATAAAGTTTTCCTGCATTTTTTATTATTTTATCGTAACTCATATTTGTATATCTAAATATCATTAAACTGCTTTGTTTTGAATAAATTTATTTTATTAAGAAAACATTAAGTAATTTAAATATTGATTACTATGTCTCTTTTTATTTTCTTTTTAATCCCAGTTGTTTGGTTTTAGCTCCTCATCAGCATTGATTTCAGCCTGAAAAAAAGAAAAATTCGGAGACCCAAATCAAATGAGGCAAAAATTGTGTGCAGTGTGTTCTGTACTAACCACCCTGAAAATATATGTTTAGTATTCTTGTCTAAAATTAAGAGAAAGAAATACGAATAGTAGGGAGTCACAAATCAATATTTTAGGAGTAGTATTAAGCATAAACGGAAACACTTTTAGTCAGATTACAAGTAGGAATATCGACAGCAGTTTAATTATCTAATGAATTAGAAGGTGTTTCTATTAATCAAATGTCCACTCTTTTCTCCGGCAATCGATACAGGTTTTGATAATTTTAATCTAGCTTACCTTATAAGTGATTAGTTTTAAAATCGATTGCTAGGGCCGCAGTGTCTTCGAACATGGTATACCAAATTTGGTGTGGATCGTATATGATTATGAATAGCAGATTTTTATGCAGTACATACATCATAAGTCAATGGGCGTCGTTGGCGGGTATTGTGTCCACCTTAATACTTAGATATCTCTAAGAAAAAATAATAAAAGACAATTGTCAAATATTTAGCAGATTTAAGAACTTTTTTTTTTCTGATGTGAGAAATTCAGTTGCGACGCCCATGGTATAAACATTCTACTTTATAAGTAACTATATGCTGAATGCGGTTATTGGTTAAATCATTTGCGATCGAATTAAGAATTTTGAGAAATAAATTCGGAACTGGTGTTTTTTAAAGTATAATTTCTCAGAAATTTATCAAGCATTTTTAACATTTCTTTTTTTAAATATGAGAAGTAAGTAAACCGAAAGAACTTGAATTAATTAATTTACTGTTCTTAAATTAAAAATACTATTAGAATTTACCATACTATTTAATATAATCTATTATTCTGCAATAATTAAAAATAAAAAAAGGAGAAATGTTATCCTATTTGGAAGGAAAAAAATTACATCTTGTTTTTGCAAGAGGAGAAAAAAACAAATAAAAGAGATCTCAGATTATCTTGATTTTTTTTATTTTTGTTTTTTCTAGGGAAAAAATTGCTTATATGTATACTTCCTTATAGCATTTTGACTTGTTTGTAAACAAAAATCGATATTTTTCAAGGCTATCAGATATAGAAACTACCTTTCATTTCATATAATGAATAATACAGGTGTCACTTATATTTATGTCAAAAATTAGTAGTAGAAGAAAATCTCGAGCTATTAAAATATATTATTATCTCAATTCAAGGCGGTGCACGCCATTTCGAAATTTGTCATTTCTCCTCCTCGTAGTTGCCAACAAATGAACTAGATGGCAGCAATATCGTTACTGTTTATAAACAAGATCACATGCCGGCCGACCTTGGAATGTAGCTTTGTTTCTTCATATGATGTTGTAAAAAGCATTAACGCTATCTCTAGGTGCAACTTGACGATTGAATACAATTTAAGTTCGTTGTATTTATGTTAAGTAAAAATTAATCGTCAGCTAATGAAATTTTTGTAACATTGCAACTCTACTACTACCAATATGGCTGTCACTATTTCAAATGTAGCCAGGTAAGTTTTCATGGAATCATCCTTTCTGACGACTTAATTTTTTTCCCCTGTGTAACTCTCACAGTTTAGTCTTTTAATGTTCAGATTTCGTCCGTTTTCTTTCAATTTTTCATTTCTTATGAAACATAAATAAAAGGAATTAAATCTCTAATGCAAAGAGAATTGCATGCTCACGGACTCAATATTTTCATTCCGTTTGTTGTATCTTAATTGTTCTGCCATAATTTTTAATAAAAATTTAGCCCAGAATGTAATCTAATTTTTCCTTTTTAGTGGTTCATGAAAACATTTTAATAAAAACAGTTACTGAATTAGGTATATAGAATTTTTCTTTTGCGAACTGTTTTATTTTTAAGTGTTTTTTAGTAAATTTAGAAACCTTTTTTCATTGGCTTGTTTTTGTTGCTCAATATTGCACTATAAATAACAACCAATACGAATGTGTTGGTACATTTCAATGCACATGTATAGAGTAACTTGTTAATAAAGCGATTTCGTTTTTATAACTCAACAAAAGTAACTCACAACAACACAAGTACAGAAAAAGAAGTTTTACTTACATGTATACATAAAACATAAAAACACAACGCCTATCTTGGGTAAATAAGATAGTAGAGATATTGCTAATCCAGAATTGGTTTAAATTAATAAATATAAAAGCTACAATGAATAAAAAAAATGAATCAGAACTATAGCTTACCTTTTTTGTTATATATATATATGCAATGTGCAGTGTTATTTATGATGAATATGCTGTTTTTCTGTTGGCCAAACTTTGTCCATCTTTGAAAAATGTTGAGACATGCAGCACTACAAGCTTGCAAACTTCTTGTTTTCAAATATTGATAGTGGTGTTTGATTATTTTTTTCTTCGTAACTACCTGATTCTTCACTTTTACACACATTTGGTCAAAAACAAGCATGCCTACATTTGATCAACTGAGTTTATAGGAAATTATTTTACAATTATCTTAAAAAATGCAACTAAAAGGATATTATCCATTTAAATAAAATTATATAGTGTTGGACAGTCATTTATCTTGGGTAAAATTTGTTTTACACTTTCACACATTTTCAATAAGTATTTTCTAAAGTAATTTTCAACAGATAAAATTTAATTTTATGAATAACCTTTCCTAATAAAGGTTCCTTTCAATGGTAACCTATTACCTTCCAAAATTGATAAGTAATTGTTATTCTTTAAATGAACAGAGTATGTGAATTTCCTATATAATATATTATTCTATTTTAAGCATGTAGCCTTTAATTTTTTAACGTAATTGAGTTAACTAAACTGTAATTTTATTTATCAAATATTTGAATTACGTTGATCAAAGTTTGCTATTAAAACTAATAGTACAATTGTGTTATTATGTTTTCGACTTGCTTTTTCTTTTCTTATTACTAAAAGTATTAGAATACTACTAAAAGTTTAGTATACTTAGTACATTAAACTTTAGTTTAATGTACTAAGTACATTAATGTATTTTAGTAATGTTAGTACATTAATGTACTTAGTACATTGAACTTTAGTTATTAAACTTTTGATTAAAATAAATGTATAGAAATTTTATAATTTATCATTTTTTAGCACACATCATAAGTAAATAGTTACGAATTTCATTATAATATTGATAAATTAACATTGAACTGAGTTACAAAAATTCAAGATAAGGCTTTGAAACTTTTCTACAATGTAGATTATCTTATTGTGTGTGACATTGTTTTACTGTTTTGTTTTTTATTAGATTTGTGGGTGCTAGTTTAAAGAACACGCTCTTCTGCTCACAAAGAATATGTGTTCGTGGTGTTCAGAGTTCAGTGGGAATTAAAGAAGATTCGTATCTTGATCCGGTGCAAGTTAAACTCTTAGATGAAATGTGCATTGCTGTTGATGAAAATGATAATGTTGTTGGTCCACGTACAAAAAAGGATTGTCATTTAATGGAAAACATTAAAAAAGGTGAAATATTTAACTTATATGTAATTTTATTAATTTTAAATTATTGTAAGTAATTCTTGATTAATATTTTTGGTCTATTCAAGGCATAAGTTTGGATAAGAATATATTACTTTGTTCAGTTCTTTTAATTCTAAATTTTGTTAAATATACTATGATTACTTTTACGTGTATTTGAAATTGAAAGAGTTGAAACCTTTTGATGATATTTATTGTTTTGCAAACAAAATTCTTTTTTACTTTTTGTTTTTGTTTTTCTTTTAATTATTCATATTCATCAATAATGTATTGTAAATTACAACAGTAAATGAAATTGTTTTTTTAGTTTCTTTAGTATCTAAATTCTTTTGAAATCTCTTCCAAAGAAAAAATTACATCTTCACATTACTTTCATAAATATAGAAGAAAAATGTGCTTTACATGTTTTCGAGACAAGTTTTAAAAGTGTTATAGTTTCATTTTAATGCTACTGAAAGTGACTGAATTTTATTTTTTTATATATATTTATATTATACTCAGTGCTGTAGTTGTAGAATTTTATTTTTTTATATATATTTATTGTGCTCAGTGCTGCTGAAATATTTGGTTTGCTGCAGTAAAAAATTTTGATTATCTGAAGAAATTTTAAACCAATTTTTCTTTTCCTCTTCATTCTTTTTCTTATTCATTTTGCGAAATGAAACTAAAATTTCTGCTCCGTTCTAAGAAAAAAAATTTCACTCTAACAAAAGTGCCGTTTGTACTGATTATATTCGCAAGCGCAAATGAGCTTTCAAATCTGATTGGTGTAATTTTTTAGCTTCTTTGTAAACAAATGCAAACGGGAATGTAAGAATTGTCCTGTTAAACAAAATGTAATTTCGGAAATGTTTATAGTGTTTAAAATTTTTGACATAGTTCAAAAGCTAAGTAATCAGAGCAGATATTTAAATTGCATTTAGCAATATTTAATGACAACAAAATTCTAAAGTTACTTTTAGTTAAATCCATGTGATTTGTGAAATTTTGAATATACTAGATGAGATTTTTTTTCTTTAACTCTTTTACATAGTTTAAAATCTGGTTAGCAAGGAAATTAATCTAAGAGCAAATAATATGTTTCAAGCAATTAAAAAAAGTGGGACTCATGGAGTTCACTTACTTTCTATTTGAATAAAGATATTTTTAAAGTGAGTAACATAAGTTATTACAAATGTGAATTGCTCTTATTGTTAAACTCTAACAAAATAAATATATCTTTTTTGTGTATATGCATGTATATATTTCCTACCTTCTTACTATCAAGGCAATGTTTAACAAATAAGAAGTCAGGGGTCTGTCTAGGTTTTCCAGAGATATCTATTTTGTGAAAATTAAAAATTATGTAAAAAAAAAAAAACACAAAAATATGGATTTATCCTTTCTTACAGGATACAACAATAAAATTTTAAGAAAAAGCATTTGAGTTGAATTTGTGAAGGTACCGCTAAAGGGTAGTAAATTTGGCCTGGACAAACCCCTGGAAGTTTATTCTGCTTTTCAAGTGCTAATGCAGAATTATGTACTTACTAAGTAATATTGAATAGAAATTTATGTAGTTTATTAATTGTTTTGTCAATAGCTTTTATGATGGTACATCAAAGGAAAAAATATTGGAAATTGGCTTTTCAAAAAGTAAAGCTTTTTCAAAAAATAAATGTCTGCTTTTTTTAATCGCTGGCCAAGTAATTTAAACTGATCGTTTTTTAACTCATCAAAAATCAGTCAACTATAGCATACACATTATAAATAGATGAGAGTTCCTCCAAATATTTTTTTCAACCACAGCACTGACTGTACTAACTATTTCTTTGAATTTTCTTAATTGAAAAAAATATGTTATTTTGATTATGCAGAAAAACATAGAATAATTTTTAGCTGAAATGATTTTTTTGATTTATGTGTCACAAATCCGGTTTTAGTATACTCTTAACGTGTTTTTTTTTTTAAAAAATATTTTAGGAGTCTTTCTTTTTGGTAGAGAAACTTTTTTCCAAATTACAACATTATTAAATATTTTTGTAATATAAGATAAATTTACTGCCAACCTAAAGAAAGTTTTAAAAAATTGCTATTCCTTTTGCTTTCACATTTATGGCTTAAACTGAAATAAAATTAAGCATGAGCTGAATAATACAGCTCCAATCAAAAATGATGAAATTTTTTTACTTTGTACTAGTTAGTTATAAAGGCTAATTTTAAAAAAAAAAATATCATCTTTTCTTTTAAAATAGTTAGAAGTGTTTTAATCATTTTAGAATTTCAATGAATAAGATGGATGCCCTACCCATATAACTTTTTTAAATTATCTAGACGTAGCAAAATCAAAATACATAGTAAAAAATTAAATAAATTGTTTTTTATTTCTAAATGAATTTTAGTACTTATTTTTTAATTAAAAAAAATTATATTGTTTAAATTATTTTTTTTATAAATATTTATTTTATTCATTTTTAAAAACTGTGAATTATTCTGTTTCAATAACAATGTTGTCTGACAAGGAAAATGTAGAATAGGCACAATATTTTTCCTTTTTTTTTCATGCTTTTACTGCACAAAAAAAGCAAAATGTATTCATGTGAGCACATGAATCAACCTATCTGAGAATCAAGATCAAAGAAAAGAGCTTTTAGCATTTCATATGCATTTGCACAGCTGTGAATTAACTTTAAAGATTTCAAGGTGAAAAGATCATCTGCCTCTTTCCCTGCCAGCAAGTGTGCTTCTGTTTACATTTTACAGGGCTCTTGTTTGACAACTTTTTTTTTCTTCTTTCCTTCTTATTATTATGCAATGAGTTTCATGATTTGCTTCAGGTCCAAAAAGCTGTTTTACTTCCTTTTCATGTGTGATTATGGCTTTTCCTTTCCTCCTCTTCCTTTTTTCTGATTGATATCTCCAGACAGGATACTTATCTTTGTTAGTTTTCTGTCATGGATTGTTAGGCTAGATATTGAACAAAAGTGTTTTCTGTTAATTATTTTCAGTTAATGCTCATTTAATTTATTTAATGTGGGATTTTGTTTATTATTTTCTGATTTGTTAGATGTTAACCTTGACTTTAAAAGCAGTTTTTGTTCAATTTTTTATTTTTTTTAAATTTTTTTTGGACAGTCCAAAAAGAGCTGCTTATACATTTATTAATTCAAAACATCAAGGCTTCATACATATTAAAAAAAGTTCATACATAGATAACTTAATTGATCCTTTCTATACATGCTCTCATAAACTGTGTTTTTCTCGGTCACTTTTGGTTAAAACTACTTATCAATATTTTGATTATATTTTTTGTGAAGAATAATTTTCTTTGTCAAGTTAACTTACTATAATTATTCTTCACTAAGCTAAGTTTTCATTTAGATTGGATAAAAATAAATAAGTTATTGAGGATTCTGTTAGCAACAATCGTAGCAAAAAGTTTTCTGGTAGCACAAACAAGATTCAGGAGAAATTCAGGCTGCTAAGGACAGATTTTTGATTTAATTTTTAAAAAAAGGTTATATTTTCTCTGTTAAAAGAAATTGAAATGGAAAATTATCAGCACCAAAAAAAATAAAATATTTCAAGAAAGAAGAGCGGAATAAGGCTATTATGAGAAGAACGCAATTAAATTTATATGTTAATATATTAGTTTGGCTCCCTTAAGTTTATGAATAAGACCTTAATTTTATTCTTGTAAATTATTATTGTAGTTCTATATATTTAGATTTCTATTATTTTTTTTAACAAATATCATATACTAGTTTATTCAAAAATGGTGTAAAGTCAAATATTTTTCTTAGTTCAAGAAATTTTTTTTAACAATATACAAACTTTACTTTCTAAAACTATTCAAACTAAAAAAAGTGTCATCATTTTCGGAGAAAAGACCCTATTTACTTTCAAACCAAAAACAACTGTGTTCAGGGAAATCATTTGGCTTAGAGAAATTTCTGCGCCGCTGTACATTCATTCCTACATTCGAAAACAATTGAAATGGTATAAAGATTAATTTTTTTCATTGTTTCATCTATTTTATTTTCATTTAAATTTCAATCGCATTCTTTTGAACTTAATATAATTCACAGCATTATTAAATTTTAAATCACGAATAAAATTTCTATTTTGTCCTTTAAATTTAAGTCCTTGTTCTGATATTCTAGTTATAATTTTTAACAGTCTTTCTGTCAATGTATTAGTTTATATCCTATTTAGAATTGAAAACCTCTTTAACATACATAACAAGGGTATTGCCATTGAAGTTGGATGTAACAAAGAAAATGCATCTTATCTGTTAGTGTTTTGAGGAGGGGGGCAATCCTTTTAATTTCTGATTTAAGCTCTATAGATTTTACAAAATTTTTATTTAAAGTGCGAAGTTTAAAAATAAACCTGACTAGCTATTTTAGGAGTGTTTCTGATCTTCAAAGCATTAAATACTCTTATACTTGAGTATAAAAACACCTTTGATTGGATTTATGGATTAATGAAAAATGGTTGCATTACAAACTGATTTTTTATATATTTTATTTTTATAACTTTACTGAATTATGAATGTTTTGAAATGTTAGTTTGTTTTTAATTAAAGTTTCTTACTTGAACAGGATTGCTGCATAGAGCTTTCAGTGTTTTCCTTTTCAACAGTAAAAAGGAGCTTCTCTTACAACAAAGATCTGATACGAAAATCACTTTTCCTGGTATTTATATTAGCATTCCTCTTTAGTTTTTATAGTTTTTCACATTTTGATTTATAGGTAATTGCTGAAGAATTCATAAATGCCTACTTTTAATTATGTTTTAATACTTTTTCTTTTACATTTTAATTTGAAATTATTAATATAAATGTTGATTTAATCAGGTTTTAGTCCTGATACTATTATTATTATGAATAAATTTTTTTTACAAAGTTGAATTTACACTTTTAGATCTTATAAATTCATTCAAAAACTATAAAAAAGTTGTTCTTCAAATTTTTTTCTTTAAAAAAATCTGTTTTATTATTTGAATAGATTGTAAATCATTACAATGTTTTATATGTGAAATATATTATTAATCTTCTATTGAATTTCAGTATATATAAGTTGTAAAGTAAATTTTATGCTGCAAATAAAGTAATTGTTCCTATCTTGATTGACCATAGTCTGATTTTTAAATATATCAATATAATACAAATTTTCATGTGAAATAATCTGTTATGAAGGCACTGATAGTAAGTGGAGGCATTCATTTAGAATAATTAGCTGTTTCTCAATAAAGAAAATAATTAGAATCTATTTCATATATTCGTATACCCTTGTCAGTGGTTATGAGCTAAAAAAATAACCAAGTTTTCTCTGTAATTAGAGAATAAGATAGTTGATACTAAAACAATGATACATTACCAATCTTCTTTAATGACCATATTGCATTTGACACAATTTATGAGTTTTTTTAAATTTATTTTTTTAATGTCATTATTATTCTATTAAGAAAGGAAAAACCAAATGACTTGAAATTCTATAAATTCACCACTAAGAAATATCTACAGACTCTAAAATAAAAAAATTGAGGGAAAGAAAAGTTTTTAAATGCATTTTTAATGATATTCCATTTTTAGAACATTTGTATGTGACTTTTTTATCCCCAATGATGCAGGTCACGATAGCTGTGTTCCACTTCTTGTCTTGGGTCTGAAGAGAATCTCATCCACTTTGAAGTTCAAGAAATTATAAAATATAATTTTTGAAGACATATTAATAATTTAAACTATTTTTAAAGAATAAAATTATTATGTTGACGAGATATTCTGCAAATTTTCCAGGATTAATAATATAAAATATGTCAAGAGGAGCACAATTCATATGTTTGAGACATTTTTTCCAGTATAATTATTATTGCCAGTCTCTATGCTGTTACTATATATTAATAATGTAATTATTCATCTGTTCACCAGTAATGTCACACATTTGTTTCATATAACCTTCTATTGCAAAATATTATAATTTTTTTAAAATAGCAATCCAGATACAGCAGGTAATTTTTTTGAATCTGAAAAACTCGGGTAAATGTCAGGAAATTTAGTTGAAATACCTAAAAAATCACTATAATGAAATTAATTTGAGTTTAAGGTACCTGACAACAGTTCAATATTTTTTTCTAAAAAAATTTGCTATTTCTGAAATATGTTTTCTAATGCTCATTTTATATCAAACATTATAACATCCTAAAAAACTGTTTTTTGCCTTTAGTCGTTATTATATTTATGGAATTATACAAAAGTTTTATCAGTTTTTAAAAATATTTCTGTAAAGAAAATTGATTTAATAGTAAATATTACGCTGGCAACATAAAAACTTTTTGTCTTAATAAAAAAAAGGTATTTCATTATTAAATATGTTGACTGACAACAAATGATTCCTGCTATAATTGAAGATTACTATTACAGCTAGAATTACCATTGATCTGTCATAAATAGTTAGCATAAAATAAAGTGTGTTTGCTGTCCATTGTATCCCATACTTATTATAGACCTGAATCTTTTCATATAACATGAACTTATTCTTGTTATATTTTTTTTATTGTTTATTTGTTACATTGTTAGTGATTATATACTGGTAAATGTGTTTTAGGTTACTTTACTAATACATGCTGCAGTCATCCTCTTTATATTGCCTCTGATCTTGAGGAGATCAAAGCTTTGGGAGTTAAAAGAGCTGCTCAAAGAAGGTTACACATTGAATTAGGAGTTGAACCAGATAGTGTAAGTTTGCCTCGTTTTTTTGGTTATGCTTTTGTTTAATGCTGCATGCAGTTAATTTTTAATTTTGGCTATGTTTACATTTTTTATACATTTGTATCAGATTATACTGGCGAATAATCTTTTTTTTCTTTTTTCTTTCTATTAGATGAAATTTTTTAACAGATCTTGGATACTTTCATATCGCTGTAATTGGTTTCTCTCTCTAAAGTTTTTTTTAATGACATTATTAGTCTATGTTTTTGTTGAAATGTACTAGTTTAGAAACTCTATATACGAGATGGGGTCTCATAAATGTTGAACAAAGTTCTATTATAGTTAGGGCACATTATCAGGATTCAAATTGCATAGGATTAAATTTCCGGAAATGTCATTGTATGCTGCTAGGGGTTTCCCTATTATGAATTGTTTCTTAGTTTGGTTCTGAACAGGTCATAGTAGCAAAGTGCTCCTAGCAGTGTGCAAGAACTTTTTGGGTCATGGGTTCTTATACAATTTTAATCCTGTTGATATGCCCAAACTCCCATAGAAATTTGTTTTATATGCATATATGCGACCCCCTATTAAATGCAATGTTTTTAAACTTGTGCATTTTGACCAAAAATTGTCTAAAAATGTCATTTTGCAAAAAGTTGTAGCTATAGTAGCAAATCTAATTTCAGATTTAAAATGTCCACACCTAAACTAGGCAAGGTATAGTATTTGTATAAATGCAAAAAAAAGAAAAAAAAAATCCTGTGATATTATTACTTTTTAATAATTACTATTTGCTAAGGTTTTTATACAAAATAGTTTTCCAATTTACTTTATTTGTATTATGAAATAGAAATATAAACATTATAAACTCGAAACATTATGATGAGGAGGCTTAAACATCCTTTATACTACTTAAATTAAAGCAAAAAAAACTGGAAGAAAGCACAAATTAAGTACAGGAATGGAATTACTAAACCCCCAGACTTATTTCTCACCACCCATCTTTTTATTATCTTGTTGAAACTTGTTCTTATTAGTTAAACCATTTTGCATGTATTTATATTTTTCTTTCTTACTCTCATTTGCTGTTTAGACATCAGGCAAGGTTCTTGTTTAGAGAACCAAAACTTTAGCATGTCCATTTTTGTACTTTAATCATATTGCTTTAATTAAGATACAGTGTTTAGAATTCTGGGAAAATTGTAATTTCGTTGTAATCAGTAGAGAATCCAAACTTTTATAACCTTAAAGTGTATTTTTTATGTATATTAATTTAATCTGTTTAATCATTATGCATTTATGTAGAATGCATATATGACTCACCCATCCAGAAAGGGTTAGTTAAGTAAATTGTATACTCATCAAAGTTCATGATTGAGCATATCTAACTGCTATATCTACAGGAAAACTTAATAATAAAAATATATTCAAGGAAGTCTTTTCCAGTTTCCCTTAATACTATTTTTCATTTATAATTATCTTACAGCATTAACTGCTAAGAATAATCCATAATATTTATTTTCATGAGAAAGAGAATTTTTTTTATATACAGAAGTCATTAATGTAGGCTTTGCAGGTTTTAGTATACACTATTTTTTGCAATAGTTTCATTTCTGATTATTACAATAAAATTGAATAAGTAATTCCAAAAACAATCAAGTAATAAAATATTACCTGATTAAAAACATCATACGCATCAAAAATATACAAAAATTAAATAACAGTCGACATGTTCCAAGTGCATGCATGAAACTCCTATTTTCAAGGTTTAATAGGCATGAATGTAATGTAACATAATTTCATTACACCCGCGTCTGTCAAGTCTTGAAAATGGGCACCTATTTTTGATGTGCTTTGAAACATGTCGACTGTCATTGTATTTTTGTATATTTCTGAGGCTTATGTAGTTTTCAATCGGGTATTACCAATAAAATGCTATAATTTTTCATGAAATTTGAAAGTTATTATTTTTATCTAGATTGCGGCAAATGAATTTTTGTACATGACAAGGATCCTTTACACTGCTCCATTCGATAATCGATGGGGTGAGCGAGAAATAGATTATGTACTTCTTGTTCAGAAAGATGTTGAACTAAATCCAAACCCAAATGAAGTTAAAGATTGTGTTTACGTTTCTCGTGATAAATTGAAGAGCTTCTTAGGTAATGCACTTTTTTAAACTTATTGATATGCTCTCATAAATAATTTTTTTTTCTCTCACAGTTTTTGTGATTTATTAGTAACTTGTGATTTTTTCTAATTTCTGTCTGAAATGAAACGAACTTCTTAATCTCTCTTATTCTGAATATCTCTTATTATATAGTGCCCATTCTGAAGCTTTTTTACTCACTGTTGGTTTTCCTTTTTCTTCCTTTAAATTAATTATGAGAATGAGTAATAATGACTAAACTGTATATGGGAGCTTTTTTCCTATGTAATTAATTATTACAACTAATTTTTAAGGTATTGCACCCACTTTAAAAGCAACTCCATTAAATAAATAAATATGTATTTAAAGAAATGCTGCTTAGCTGCAAGAAAATGAATATTTTAGCTTTTAAAATATATTTCAAAATTAAATAAATAAATGAATAAATATGTATTTAAAGAAATGCTGCTTAGCTACAAAAAAGGGAAGATAGCTAAGGATTTTCCTTTTTCCAAAATTTATGAATCACAATAGTATCAGTACTGTTTATTTCTCATAGAAAAATCAAAATATATTTTATTATAAAAGCTACTTGAAAATAGTCATAGACATTGATACATTCCATAAAGCAAAGCATTTATTTTATTTCACACTTGGTCAAAATTAGGTCAATTTTAATTCAAAATCATTTACCTATGTCATCAACATGTTTACATTTATTCATTTGACCCGAATGTTTGTTATAGATATAAAAACATTTATTTTCTTTCACTTGATAAGTTTCATTCTCTGACTCCTATTTTTATTTTAAAAGTCACATATTTGGTTAAAAGCCAACAGATGGTAATAAAACAAAACGACACTTTGGTAGTTTTCCAAGTGGAACTGTCATATTCATCTGCCTTTCTTTTTTCTATTTGGTTATTTTTTCTAATCAAGTTTGTGTGTTATTTTTCTTTTTAGAATTAAAGTTTAAATGCTTCTGTGTGTCTTTAAGTAAATTTCTGCACATTTTATAATGTATAGCCTAATCATTTTGAGTTTAATTTTAAATTACTTATTTTTTTTATGTTTTTATATATTTTTTATTTATTTAAATCTGTGTATAAATATGGAAAGATAAATAATTACGTAGCATTTTAATGTTCTGCTTGACAAATCAATAATTAATGCTCTAAATTGTATTTTATTACTTATTTGCTCTCTTAGAATTCAAATTTTAGTTTTTACTAATTCTGCTATTAAATTGAAACCAGTGTAATTTTGCTACTTGTGGTGTATTGCGTTGGTGGTTAATTTATAGAGAAGGATGGGTCTGTGTATTTCTTTTATGTATGTATTTTTTTATCATGTGTTCGGACTTACTGTGCATGCCGAACCGACTTACGATGTGCATAGTCACGCAAGGTTGGCAAGTTTCTGCCGAAGTGGTTAAAACCACTGGTAGAAACCGGTTAAAACCAGCATGGCAGAAACCCTTTTCTGCCACATTTGTGACAGAAATTCAGAAAATGACATAAAAGCAAGTACTGAGATTGACATACAATGGATAATTCATAGAAAAAACAATTAAATGTTTAACAAAGTCCAATTTATTTACAAGATTATCACCATTCAAAATCAAATATTACATTGTTTGCACTCTGCAGTAATCTATAACAAAAGACAAGTTTTGATGCAGTTTCTAAACCTAAACAATTTCTCAATTTACTTATGCACGTTCGAGAAATTTGAAAAGATTCTCTCAAGTCCAGCAGAACTAGCAGGCATTGAACTGGACCACCATGTAGCAGCTGGGGTAGTTGTCGAAACTTGACAGGAAAAATAAGTTTCAGGAATTGGGTCCGATTTGTTTTATATAAGTATTTGATATACTGCACTCTTTATAATTAACATAATCAAAATAATATATATTTACAAACAATGAATTAAAAAGTATGTTACAGTTATATGGAGTTACATTTTTCAGTTTACTTAAACAAAATGTCATTAAGCAATTACTAGAACTAATATAGACGTTTTTTAGTTTCTGCCAGTTTTGACCGGTTATAACCAGTTTCTGCCACTGGCATGGCATAAACCAGTTTCTGTCGGCAAAAAGCCAACCCTGTAGTCACATGATGTCGTTGTTGTGGAATAAGTAAGGAAAATCCTGATGCTACCGGATGTATGTGTGAACTTCGCCCCATTTCAGATATAAATTCTAATATATTTAGGTATATAAAAGTATTAATGTGGTTTTTAACCCATATATGTGTTAGTGATGTGAAATGTAATACAGTTCAGAACCCGTTATCCGGAAATCAGAAAACCGGAAAACCAAAAAACCGGAACGAAATTCGATAAATTTTCTGGCCATTTCTAAAAAAAAATTTTTTTTCCTCATAAGATTTTACGATTTTTCTTTCTTTTTTTAACGATGTTTACCTTACCATCATTTTGAAATAATCATTAGTGTATTACTTCAGCGTTTTTTCTTATTTTTAAGATTATTTCCAATTTTTTTTTTTTTTAAGTTGGGTTTAACAATAAAAAAAACGGCTTTTTGTAGCGATTCAGAAAACCGGAAAAATCAGTTATCCGGAATAGTGATGGTCCCGACCGTTCCGGATAATCGGTTCCCTACTGTAATTCAAAAAGAGGTTGAATTAGTTCATTAATTAGCTTCAGAGATTAACACCATGAGATTATTTTTTAGTTTTTACTAATTTTGCTAGTACAATGAAACCAGTGTAAGTTGACTACTTGTGGTGCATTGAGTTAACTTAGTGGTTAACTTGTAGAGAAGGATGAGTCTGTGTATTTTTTTATGCATGAATTTTTTTTTTTTTATCGTAAGATTAATCACAGTTGGAATTACAACTTGTTGCATAAGTTTAATATTGAACTGATTTTTTTTTTTGAAAAATCATGTGTGCATATTTTCTAGGAGCGCTTGCTAGTTACTTACACTAAATAATTTCTTTAAATATTAATATACATCATGCAGTTATAAAGCTTAACATTATATACATCTTTACATTTAAAATTTCATTTTATTATCCTTTCTTGAAAACCTATTTGTGACAAAACCCTTCAAAAGTTTTCCATATGGCCAACTTGGAAATTAGGATAGCTTTTAATAGCTCATTTATAGTTATATGTACTGTTCATAAAGTGATGCTGAAGAGAATTTTCTATAAAACAAATTGCAGCCAACTTAGAAAGTGTTTAGAATAGCACTCAACATCCCTGGACACGTGTGATTTATATTAGCAGTCAACATACCTCTGACTAGTTTGTAGTATTTAGCCTGAAAATTTGTTCAAAATAGTTAAATTAGTTATAAAGTATGTTTCATCGAGTCTTAATATATAAATATTTTTTGAAAATAATTAATTTTAAACAAATGAAATTTGGAGCTTGCTATTCAATTACCCATAGTAAGAGGTCTGGAAGATACCCATTTATAAGTCATTCTCTAAACAAATGGTATTTGATTAGTGTGCAACTTTGATGATGGCTCAGATAATTATTTTCTTTTCTTGGGTTAGGTTTATGATCATCGGCTCTTCTTGTTTTGAGAAGTCTTTGCCAAACACTTCAATTTAGTGTTTGATAGATTGAGAGAACAACTGAGTTCCACTGAAGTGTAAAATGAAATAATGATTGAAGATAATTTATGTTTTAATGATGCAGATAAACTTTGGAAGTTAAATTTTAATTTATTCATTTTCTGTATCAAGACTTGTTAAAATGTTTTATCAATTTTAACAAGCTAAGTTTTTTTTATTTTCCTTCTTTTTATAATTTACCTAAATAATTTAATTTTATAGATGATGTACAGAAAAAAGGGTTAAAAGTAACACCTTGGTTTAAGCTGATTGCAGAGAACTTTTTGCTAAAATACTGGGATAATTTAGATAACCTGAAACCCCTTCGTGATCATAAAACTATTCACTCCTTGCAATAAAAAGTAAGTTTTTACTCATATTTTGTCAGTCTGTATTCTAAAGTAGAACTTTAATTACATGTCTTTTCTTAGGAAATTTTGATTTTACTTGCATTTTACTCTTAATTATTTACACCTTTCCCCTTTTATGCATGGTTTCCTCTTTTAGTGGCTAAGCAATGTTTAAGCATTAACTTTTCAGGATTTAGTACAGTTTTTTGAAGTTGAAATTTAGTTGGATTCCTGTTCTTAAGAAATTTTGATTTTATCGAAAAGTTTTCCAACTTTTCAATACTTTAAAAAATTTTACTTTATGAACTTAACATTGTTTTCAATTTGATGGCAAATATTCCAATTTGTTTATTTATAGGTATGTGATCTTTGCAGACATATATATTTATTGTTAATCTTTAACAAAACAATAAATAATTATTTTGAATTAATAAACTAAATGCTAGTTTCTAAAAGTTAAATGCAATTGCAATGTTGACAAACAGAGAAATTTATAATGAAATTTCATTTAAAAGTTTATCAAGCTATCTTTATCACATTTTTCCTGCTTTATATTTTTCAGTTTAAGGAACTAAAGGAATAACAAATAGAATTAAATACAGTTTGTTTTAGCTAAGTATGTAAATGAAATTTATTAATTGATAAGGAAGACATAGAGATTTCTACAAATAATGTATTGGTTTGCATTTCTTTTTAAATGTTAAAACTTTTAATGACATTGTCTTAAGATTTTTGACATTAATGCTTCTATATGAAGAATTTTAATTCCATCTCATATAATTTAAATAAAGGAAAAATGTGTTGATTGTTCTTGAAATGGTTATGCTAAATAATTATCTGCATTATTTTCTGAAATTATTTCCTGTTATAATTGTGGAAGTATGATGCACGTAGTAGAGAAAAACAGTATTTCATTTATCAAAGAAGAATATTAAGTATTTTTTTTATTACAGAAACAATTAAAGTCGATACTTTTTATATGAATCTATGAAATGTGAAGGTGTACTTTTTAAAAAAATACTGTTTTTCCTGAAAGGATATAAAGTTGTTGGATCTTATTTTCCCTTTGTACTGAATGAAGTTTTTAGCTGATTACTGTTTAATATAAATGTGTATACACAACCCTAAAATAATGGAAAAGACACTTTCAGTTCTTGACATTTTTTAAAAATTTCTCGAGTAATACATAAAGGTTTATTTCGTAACTTTAGAGATATTAAGTTCATGAGATTGAAATGAGATTTTAAGCTTTCTGTGACTTGGGAGATCGACAATAAATTATTAAAGGAAACAAATAATTTTGAACACCCTATGCTAGAAAATGAATCAATAAGCTTGTAACTTGTACAGATTACTTAAGTTGTAATTTTTAATTATTGCATGAAATTTTGTAAACCTAGCATAAATATTTATAAAGATATGGACTTTTTTTTTATAAAAATTTTTTTTTCCAATTTTATGTTATAACATAAAAAATATTCAATGAAAATAAGCAAAATTTTTTGAACAGTTTAAAATTTTTTAGAAATTTATTGATATAAAATTTAAGAAAATTTCTTTTAAAACTGCACCAAATATGAGTGTTTAAAGTAGTTCCTTTGTAGTGCACCAGCACAGAATAAAAAGAAATAAAAAATCATAATTTGTTGCGAATTTTATGTATGTAATATGTAATGAAATCTTTTTTATTGTATTCAGCAACTGTACAAAAAAAGTTTGATTTTAATATCTTAACAATTTTAAAAGTTTCAATCAGTTTTCCGTGTAGTTCTTGTACTTTTTAAAAGAAAAAGCTCAAAATGATAAGAGGATTTCCACAATCTTCATTTTGTTCTATTAAACAAAAATTAAAAACAAAACCAGTATTTTGAGGGATCATCCTCCATAAAAGTATGTTTTCTTTTGCATATTTTTTTTCCATATAGCATCACATTTTGGTTTCTAGACGATCACTGTAAGGTATTATCGTTTGTTATTAAATTTTGTCTTGTCCTACAAAATAAAATTTGTGTTGAACCCCTGATTATTTTGAGCTTTCGTTTAAAAAGTGTAAAAACTGCTTAAAACTTTTTAAATCTGTAAGATATTAAAATCAAACTTTTCCCTTAACTTTCCAAATACGATTCAACCCAAAATTATGAAAGTACTTTTTCAAATTTTTTTTGCATACACAGTATGAAAGATCTACTTTAAATGCTTATATCTTGCAAAGTTTTCAATGACTTCTTTTCAAATTTTGAGTTAATAATTTTGTAATTGATTTAAAATTGCCCCAGAGAATTTTTTCTCTTGTTGAATAAAGTTATAGCAAGCATAGGTAAGGCAAATTTTTTTTATTTTATAAAAATGTTTATATCTCCATAACTATTTACTGTAGGCTTACGAAATTTTTGTGCAGTTATTAAAAATAACAACTAAAGTAATCGATACAAGTTACATGTTTTTTGCTTGATTTTCAGGCATAGGGTGTAAAAATACTTGTTTTCTTTGGTAATTTATTGTCAACCTCTCAAACTTCTAAAACTTTTAATTGTTTTGCTAAGTATGAAAATTTGCATAACTAAACATCTCTTAAGTTATACAGTAATACTTTAAATATTTCTTGAGAAATTTAAGAAAATTTTAAAAACTGAAAGTGTTTCTTCCATTATTGTAGGGTAGTGTGGGGTAGTACATGTAAAAACAAATTATATACCTTATTTCAGCAACTTAATGGTCATGGTTTATGGTCAGCAATGTAGCTATGTCATTATTCCTATACCAATTTTTATTTTATTTTATAGATATATTATTATTTATATTTAAATCTTTAATAACATTATATCGAATTAATATCATGCTCTTTAAATAAATACTTATCACTCATGATAAATACATTCACTGAACAATGTCTGGAAATAATTTTTAAAATTCAAGAACATGCACCATGAATCCAATAATCTGTATGTTGGTTATTTACTTTTGTGGTTTATTATTGTTCTTTTTCTACAGCAAATAATCTTATCTCTGTGGGCTGGCGATAAAAAAGTAACTTATTTCAAAAAGACAAAATACTACCTTTCTAAAATTTAAGAATGTTCGATATTATTCATGTACATTTTATCATTGTAATTTTTTACTGCTAAGTTAGAGAATAGACCTGCAGTTGATGTAAATACAAAATATTACACTGTGTTGTGTAAAATTTTTAAATATTCATTTTATCATATATTTGTTACTAAATTAGGTTCTGCCTGCTGAATCTCTTATACTTTCAGTGATAAAACGTTTGCAATGGCAAAAGTTTGTTAAAAAGATCAATTATTTATAAAGAGATGTTTTAACATGCTAAGAAACCCAATTAAACTTTTCAACTATTTCCTAGAAATCTGATATAAAAAAAACAACTTAATATGACCTATTTGATAAAGATGTGGGGTGCATTTTCAGTGAAAGACTGAGGTACTCAGTAAAGGATTATGAAACTTGTGATGGAACTTAGTAAGTTAAGACCTTAAGGAAAACTAAACAATATTATCTTGATATATGCTTACAGATCTACTCAAGTAAAGAATAAAATGAAAAAGGATAACTTTTTATACTTGCAAGAAACTAAAATTCTTGACCTTTTCAAGTCACAAAGTTTACATTTGAGACTTAAATGCCAAGATTTTTTATTAACTGTAAATAATTAATCAGTTTAAGCTTGTTCTTTATGAATTTGTCGGACAAGCTGGATGTCTTTGGGCATGATTTTTGCACAAAGATTGGTGTCTTTGTAAACTTTCTAAGCTGCTGCTGAGAGTCTTCTTGTGGAGATAAATGGAAATACAAAGAGATTATTTGAGTTTGCTGTCTCAGAAAATCACCAGTATGATTTTCATCAGTACTTCCCACATGCATTAAAATCTTAAGTGTAATGAGCAGTCACATTATAGTCTAATTTTGAATAAAATAAATCATGAGTTTGTATGCAAGAGATATTTTACCAGTCTGATGGAGGAGAGAAGCTACAAAATAGTAAACAAAACTGCTGACCCATTGCCCTTTTTTTTTGGTCTGAAGTCAGATATAGAATACATAAAGTTTATACAAAAGAACAAAAGGAGAAAGAAAGAATTTAGGTTAAAAATTCAACTCAAAAGATTGGCAAAATGAGTGTTCCAAATATTCTTAAAAAATATGTTCAAATTATCCAAAAATATGGAGCTAAATACATACATACTTATATTTCACTCCGAATCGGGGCCTAGGACTTCTATCGTAGCTTTCCATCTCACTCTATTTTACCTCTCTCCATATCTTTCCTATTCTTTTCAATTCGTATACAATTGTCCAGTGTCGAATATTTTTAGGTTCGCTTTTTCTGTTGCCCCGAGGGTACCCATCAAAAACTTGTTTTGCTTGAAATTTTTCAGGTTTACATAGAACATGACAAACCTATTTCCATTTAAGTTTTTAATTTCCAGATTAATTGGTTTCGGTTTTGCTTTTCTAAGGGTTTCTGCATTACAAATTTTATGGATCCAGTTGATATGCAAGAGTCTTCTTAAACAGTTGTTAATGAATACTTGAAGTTTTTCATGTTTTCATTTTGGTGCCATGTCTCAAATCCATATTGTAGGACAGATACGGCATTTGTATTGAAAACTCTAATTTTTGTTGAATTTGTTATGTTTTTATTTTTATAGAATTTATTGAGAATAGTGTAACTACTTCGGGCTTTGTTTAATATATTTAGTTTATCTTCATCCTGTGTTGTTAATTATACCTAAATTATGCATTCTGTAAAATATGTGATTAGCACTTGGAATGGTTTTAAGACTCAGACCTAATGAAAGTTATAATTGGTTTGACAATGAGAAACTTTAAAGCAAAAACAAGATTTACCAGTTTATGTTTCAGAAGTATTACACTAGAAACTTAAAAATGAATAAAGATATGAAGAAAATAAAACTAATTAAAAATAAGCTTTTCAATTAAAAATGTAATTTTAATCAATAATCAATTCAATTAATAATCATAAGGAATCTGAGAGGTTCTATAAATTACTCAATTGCACAAGAAAAGAATTCAAACCAAGAACTATTGCTTTTGGGGGAATTTCTTAAAGTTTTAATCTGAGTATTAAACATGGCAAAACTATTTTCAAGATATGCTTGAAGGGCGAAACAAAACTGGAGATAATTATATGGAAACCCTTTTATAACCAAATGCTTTTCTGTATGTTGGAAATGATTCCCCAACATCTTTCGACAAAGTAATGTTCAATTAGAAATGTAAGAGTTTTTTGAAGCTATTTTGCCTGCAGATCCTCGGGCTACTAAAGCAGGGAAGGATCAAAATTGACCCCCTGCAGAGGATCAAAATTGCGATGGCATGTCTTTGGATCATCTTCAGGTATGTTTCCAAGGCTGTCGGCAATAGCCCATTGTGCAGTTTTAGTGTAATGTAAATAAAGAGCCTACCTACCTACTGAAAATAATCCAACTTAGATCTTGATATTCAAAAAGCCTTAGATGACTGACTGGACGACATTAAAAAAGAGTTAAAAACATTGAAAATTAATAATTGGAGACATGTTGTAGATATTAGACCATGGATGGAACACATGGTTGTGGCAACCCATGCTTGAGGCAAGGGGCTATTGTGCTGGTGAAGATGTCTTATAGCAAAGCACATATTATGAAGACTGTAAATACTTCATTTGTATAATTGTGATTTGAAAATATTGTGATTTTATCTCCTCTGAAATTCTTTATTTATTTAAAATAAGTAACCACTGAATAACAATTAACATTTTCCCTTTAGTTTTCTAACATTCTTAATTTTTCATTTGTAGGATTGAAAACTTTATGTAATCATCTACCATGTTTATCCTGTCATTCGGCAAACAAGTGATGTTTTTTGCTGAAAGCCTGATGTTATGTCCTGGTGCCTGTTATTGCTCAAATCACTTTGTATGTCATTAACATGTTTTGCTTACTAATATTTGTTGAAATTTTGTACTGTGTATATTTCCTTGTTGTTACTCAAAGGTTTTAGGTTTTGTATATTTTGAATTTCGTGTGTAGATATTATAAATGTCAAATAAATGTTCACTTAGTTATATATAGTTTAATTACTTAATTTGACTGATTTTAAGGATTATAAGACTGTGGAGTTTAGGTGATTGCTGTTTTGTCTCGTTTCAAAGTATGAATTTTTGCAAAGAAAAATTGTTCCAATTTGATCTAGCTGTACACAAAAATGAGCTTTTTTCTAATGTTTATTTCAAAAAAAGACATTTCTTACAAATTTACACAAGGCTTGGTTCTCAAAAATTGGTTTAGGTTGTAAAAGTGGGAACTTAAACCAATTTTGTGTCATTAAAAAGTTATTTCTACTAATTCTTGGTAGTGAAAAAATATTATTAATTAATGATATCTAAAGTGTAAAGTTGCTGCTCGTTTAGGTGAAAACTGGGCCAGTTTGCTTCTTGTTTTTTATAGTAAGTGCATTGTGTGCAAAATCATTTCGCATGTTTTTAATTGAGTTTTTTTTTAAAAAAAGCATATTTTTTAACAAACTTTTAAATGTTTCAGAGAATTATTAATTTAAAAAAATTCCATTTCTTAAATTTCTTCCTGTAAATTACAATTGATAATCATATTTCTTGATCTAGGACATTTAGAGCTGTTTTATTATAATTTTAATTAGCTTTAAATTAAGTTAATCAAGATATGTTATTATTTTATTGTCCATAAAAATAAATTATTTTCTGTCTCCTTATCTTAGACAATAGTTTAAATGTACCCTTGCAATATTTTTTTTAAATATAGGTATAATCATTCATTTTGTGGGTGCTTTACATGCTCATTGATCTTATAATCAGTAATTTATCTTCCAAAAATAATTAAACTGTTTAATTTTTTTTAAATTTTAAAAAGAATTGAAAAAATTAAAAAATTTTAAATCCCTAAGGCTTTTTTATTTAAACATATTTTCAAAACAATTTTTTTCTTAGTACTTAAAATATTCATCTTAACAATTTTGTGTATTCATTTGTTGAAATATCAATTAGAATATTTTTTATAGATTATTTTGTAAAAAAGTTACAAAAAAATCTAAAAATTCCTGTTTGGTATATATAACATGCTGCAAAAATTTTAATATCTCATAAAATGCTTATTCCATCCACAGTTTAAATAAATGTATTATACTTAAGATAAAAAAAATTACTTCAAAGCTTTATCTTAAATAGAAAAAATTCCTGAGGGATTTAATTAAGATTAAAGCACAAAATTGTCATCTATGAGAAAAAGCACTTTAAAGTCTTTCTTTTGAGCAAATTTCTGTATCAGGGCAATCTAAAATTATTCATAACTTTTTTAAAAATGTAGATAGAGAGATGATTTTTTTTCAGTGTATTTGAAATAGTTCGAAGTTTTATTATGAGCAATAAAAAAATTTTTGTTGATGTTTTGGGTACTGTGACCCATTAAGAAAAATAATATATGTCTTTCTACTTAATAACTAAAGTTACAACATAAAAAAAACCAAAAAAACAATGAAATTCACAAGTGTGTTACACGAGTATATTGCTCTAATGTATTAATCAAAAATATAATTGTCTATTAAAACGATTAAAGAATTATTATTAATTAAGAGTAAAGGAATTCTTTTATGTAGAAGAATATACGTAAATCTCTGATATGAACATATGAGTGATCTCTGGCAGAATTTATCCAGTTTGAAATTCTTTAGAAAAAATGAGATAGATACTACTTGTACACATTGGTATCTAAATTAACTGAGACCTGTTTAAAGTGTTTTAAATTCATTATTCTTTTTGTGCATCTCTATAATTAAATGATGTTCTCTTCAGATTCTATATTAATTGCCTCCAATGTTGACCTATGAAGAATTACATCTATATGAATATGAAGTTATTAATTAATGTTCTTAAAATCTGTTTTATTTTATTCATTAAAATGTACCTAATGATTGGGTTACAATGATGCCACATGATAATTTTAATCTTTTAAGTATTTTTTAAAAGTACTTTACCTCAAAGATAAAAATTCCATAAATAAGCTCCGTAAGGCAAGACTTCATGAATAAAATGAAACAGTCAGTAATCTAAATCATGCTGTTGTTGCTTCAAATGACACTTGGGCAGGCCAAACTCAACAGTCATTTGCCTTTTGCGAGTTAAGTTAGGAAGGTAAGCCTTTCGTTTGAGAAGAAAGCACCACAAGGGTAAAAGTGCGTCTTAGCTCAGAAACCCAGGGATGGATGGCAGTACTACTCATTCATGGGGCCACTTCAATTAAGACATTGATCTGAAGGGGAAGACAATTTATCTACATAATTTATTTACTTTATAAATAGGCATTCATATAATTCTCTCTAGGTCAAATAGAGATTGGTAAAGAAAGTAGAATCTGTTGTCAGACTTGCTTAACTGAAAGGGCAAATATGTATATTAATACAGAACACATTTTGAAAGAATGCAAATATATTTATTATATCAGCCATACAAATATATCTACAATGCTGATAAACACTTTGAACACATTTCAACACTCAAAGCTGTGCAAACAATTTATACATATTATGGTTGAGTGCTTCACAGGTGCATGTAGGTGGTGATGATGCAAATGAACAATATTTCTAATGTTGCCTATATAAAACAATTAGCGTTTGATTCATTTGAAATACTTTTATGGTAATCTTGAAGGCTAAAATTGTTTTTTTTTTCTGTATAATAAATAGATTTTAGGCTTTCTGTATATTTTATCTGAATGTAGATTGTTAACAAGATTAATTTTTAAGATTTTTTTTAAAATTTGGTCAATTATATGTGTAAAAATATTTCTCTCTAACGTGCAGTTTCAATGTTTAATCATATATACCTCAGTCAATGTGGGTCATTCTATCTTGTTCTACTAAAATAGTAATTTTTAAACTAATAAAACAACAACAAATATAAAGCAAATAAATAATTACCTAAATGAAATAAATTGATAAATTTTCTTTCATATAACCCCTCCCCTCTTTAGCATATTTCTATGTTTAAATTCTATATTTTTGATTCAAATAGTTCATAAATGCATTCGTAATAAAATTATTTTTAAACTTTCTAGACAATCTTTGAGTGTGACATATCTCTAAATTTTAGTTATATCTTTCATTCTCAAACATTTGAAAGGCTTGCACTGAATCTTCCAACTCATATTTGGATTATTATCTTCAAATAGGCTAAAATGATATAAATGAAAGATATTTATTTTTTCCCTATAAAATTCTTAATAAGCTATTGGTTCAATGTATAGTTCAAAGATTTTTTTATTCTATTATCTCAAAAGTTTGAAGTATTTAAAATAAATATGTTTTATTTATTTTTAATCTTCTGAAATTTCATTCCCTCTCTCTTAACTTCTACACTCTGCAAATATAACAAACATTATTTCTTATTGAAATAACATACTTTTCTTGTTCTTCAACTTTTACCTTTTAAAATTAACACTTGTAGGGTTGTTTCTATGTATTAAGTTAATTTTTTTGGTCTTTAGATTGGTTTTTAATTCAGGAAAAAAGTTTAAACTAACAATTCATATTTTTCTTTCACCCAAAGCGATTCAGGATGTTTCAGGTCGATGGCATCATTATTTGGACAGAAACAAAGTACATGGTCTGATAAAACTGCAAAACAAATTTTAATAAATTTGGAGAAGTTTCTCAGTGTGTAAAAAGAAACTGAATAAACAAATTAAATAAGAGTTAAGATGACATCCCCATTCCATCACTCAAATTTATGAAGTTAATTTTTTTTAAAAGTATTAATGAATGTTTTAATTTCCCGTGATGGGACTGTTATAAAATATGTATTGTTAAGTTTATTACTGGGGATAAATTTCAGAAACAAACAAAACTTGTTTTAGCATTCGCACATTGTGAGAGAATGTTACTTTTTTAATTTTGAAGTTTATTTATTTTTAAAAATGTATTTATAAGTGTTATTATTTTCTCTAATCAGATAATTTAAGAATATATATTGCTATTTTAATTTTATGAATGGAAATAAACTTCAGAAGCAAACAATGCTCATTCCCTCACTTATCTTCCCCGCATTGTGAGAGAATAAAATCTTTTTAATTTATGAAGTTTATTTATTTTTTTAAAATGTATTAATAAGTACTTTTATTTCTTTTTATAGGACATTTTTTAGAAAATATTTAGTTATTTAAGTTTTATTTATGCAAATATGGTTCAAAAATATTTATAATTAAAATTATTTATGTTTATTTAATAGTATTATATTATATTAAAATTATTCTTGCACTTTGTTATCATTTCATCCCTTTAGTTAAAACTTATGATAAGTTTAGTATATTTTAAATTTTAAGCATGGCAATTTTGATTTGTCTAGTACTTTCTTGTGTATCATATAACTAAAAAATATTTGAAATGCCAAACACAATTTTTTTTTATTTTCACTTCCTGAAAATAGCCTTTATTTGTAGAAAATAATCCATTTTCTATTTATTAAAATATAATTTTAATATACAAATGTAATGTGACATAAAGTAAATGAAAATGTGTCAAGATGTGTTTCTCATATAATGCTACAAGTGCTTTAAAATTAACAAAACTTAATATTTTTCCTTTTAAATTTACAATAAACAGAAAGCTATAATGTTAGTATTTTATTAAGAAAAATTTTTAAATTTAGTCACAATTCATATTCTCTATGTAAAGTTAATTTCTTAATTCTATTTATATAATTCCTCTTATTTTAGTTATTTTTATTAATGTTTTATATTTCCAACAATTTTTTTTAATACTTCTGTTGTCATTAACAAATAAATTTTTTAAGGTTTTGAATTAATATATACTTGGTAATTTCGCTACTTTCTCTAACACAAAGACAGAAATGTTTAAAGTCATTTTAATAATTTTTGTGAATTTTTTTGGTTAATGCAGAAGTACAAAAATGGAAGGATGTATCTGTATAAAAAGTTATCTTTAATTCTAATGTTATCTATTTACCTTTAAAATTTATAATTTTTGTTTATAATATGTCTTACTATAAGGATACAAACTGTATAAGTATCAATTTTAATAATTCAGTTTATAACTATCCTTCGATCAATTATTAATCATTCATATAGTTTATCATTCTAGTGCATTCTACTTAAATAATGTTCTTCAATTTATTTTTCTAATATTTCTATAAAATTTTAACTTTTTAATTTTTTTTCGCTATATACACAAGCTCTGTTGTACTTTGTGCACCACACATTTATGGCTGTTGAAACTAGAAATTGGTGAAGGCAAACATTTAAGGACTACATAGTTACTATCATGTAAATAACATTTAACACAATGTAAAATTGATCACATTAGGTACATAAATCTATGGGTCTTAAACTACTTGAATCACAAAATAATATATACATAGCAAGGAAATTGTGTTTATATTTGAATAACATTTCAAGTTTTTTTTTCTTTTACATTAAAAGTTTTATAATTTTTTGCATTAATTTTTATTTACTGAGATACCAGTAAAACTAGCTAAAGAAATTGCATTTTTGAAAGAATATTTTAAGAACATAAAATTATAACATTACTTTGGTGTAAACTTTTATTATTTGATTTATAGAAATATTGTCATTGTTGAGAATGTTTTAAGGCAAGTTAATGTTCCCAACAAATTCAAGCTATGGGTGTTTAAAATTTTCAAATATTTCAAGATGTATTAATATTTTAAATTCTTTATATTTCAGAAATGTGAATTGTTCAACCAGAGTTGAAAGTTAAATTTTTGAAGCTGCTTTTAAATGCATTATTGTCAAATTTTTAATATGGTTAGATTATCTTAAACGGTTATTTTCTATCTTTGAACTAGTCTTCTAGGTTAAATCAAATTTTCAAAATTTATGATAATGCTGTAAATCACTAAGAGTATTTGTAAATTATAGGGATAAATTAATAATTTATTTGATTAAAATTTTGTTATGAATAGTGCTTTTCTATTTGCATATTATAAAATTTTGGCATATTTCCTGAATGTGATGTGAGTTCATTAGGGTTTAATCAATAGCAAGCACCATATGTAATAGCAAAGTTAACACAGTTTCCTTGTTATTTTCTTGAACAAAACTACTCATTTATTATAAAATTAATCGTAATTCTATTTAATCTACAAGAAAATAATGATTCAGACTAAGGTATATTTTCAGAACAATATTTTAAATTATTCATGCTATATATGTTTTTATGTCAATGAAATTTCTGTGGAAGTACTTTAATTCAGAGTCTCCCAAAGAAATTGTCTTTCATAATAGGTAATGATATTTGTTTAATGAACAGATTTTTATTTTTCAATCAATCAAAATTTAATTTACTTTTGTATTTTTGATTGATCAAAAATTTTTCAATGAAAAAAGTAAAAATTTCTCTCGGTTGAAATGGTTGAAACTTTTTGATCAATTTACTTTTTATAATTCCTCCATGGCTTTGAACAGCTTTGCTTCAGAAATAATTATAAAGATAAAAGGTCCTCAAATTCATGAGTATTTATTCATTTTAATTAAGAAAATTTGCAAAATAATTATTTGTAGTTTTCTTGTAAGCAATTTATCAATGATTAAAAATTATAATTTTCTTTTACCTTAGTAAAATTTTAAGCTGATTTAAGGTTTGTGATAAAGGATTTGTTACTTTTTGTAATGGAAGACCATAGTTTAGAGCAACTCTTGAAAAAGTTTTCTATCAGAAAAAAAAGACTAGAAAGTGAAATTGTAGCTTAATGTTTGCAATTTCATTAATTCTATAATTAAAACTCCATGATAATAGTGATTAAATGTATATTTATGTAGTTTTTGAAATCAGAAATATTTTTAACTTAAAAGTAAATTCAGAATTATAACAAATAGTTTTGTTCCATGGTTTTTATGATTGTCATACTAAGCATTGATCACTTTAAGCTAACAATATGATTTCTCTCATTTTTTCAGTAAAGGAATTTTAAATTTTCAAAATTATTTTTTCTATCAATGCAACACATCAGATAAACATAAAAATGTTTAAACTGTGTTATAAAATGTTGAAATTAGCTTTTTGAAAAATCAAACCACTTTATATTAAAGCAATATTACCTTCATATCAATCTTAGAAGTTACATTATATCAATAATAGTTACACATAATTAGTAGTTACACATATATCAATAATAGTTATATTCACATCTTAGAATAATCACTGCGAATAAAATTGAATGCATCATTCATCAAAATTATGAGTATTAAAAGATTAAAATAAAATTTTAATTTATGCATTATTAAATTTTCTCTATAAAATATCTTTGTTTGCCAATAAAATACTTTATCGATAATTTATGCTTCGTACTATGTATTTAAAAACTATGCATATTTTTTTATAAATTCTGATTTTGAATTTCTGCAATACTCAGTTCTACTACCTATTCAAAAAGCAGTATTGTTGAATGGGAATGAAAATATATCATCACGTTTGGATAATTATTTTGTATTATTATTTTTTCAATTAATGTTTGATATTAATCTGAGGTAAATTTTATAAGCAGCAGGATTCAGTTAAAAGCAAAATATAAATAACGTGACTGTAATAAGTTGTGCTAAATGATTATAAAGTTTTATAGTTCAACATAATTTCATTAAGTTATTCATTGAGTTGTTTCATAATTATTTGCTGGAATCAGAAAAATCCTTAACACGTGAATACACTTTTTTTCGTGTTGTTAAGCAACCATGAAATTTCAGCTGTGTTCAATTCCTCCAGGATAATTAATTAAACAAGTCGGGTCTTCCCCGAATTTGGTTGAAGACAGTTACTTTAATTTCTTACAATAGTCACTGTACTTGCTAACTTGAGTTAGCACCGATTGACAACCTCATATACATGGTGTTGTCAATTACTTCTGTAGTGTGGATAACTTTTTAGAAAGGCAAAATATTATAGAACCAAAACAGTTTAAGATTTTCCTAGAATTCGTTGTCATATGTACATTAGTTGAATTTTTAAAAGATATGTGGATGACAAAATATAATTTATCTGCAAAATCATTTTTCTTTAAATTAGTCTATAGTTATAAAAAAAACTCAATTCATAAAATATATACACTGCTAAATGTTTATGCATGGCATTATTGTATTTAGATGTAATATTTTAACTAATGATGAATTTTGGGAGCGATTTCTTCATTTGCATACCAGTGATGAACAATATGAAATAAAATACAGTAGAAGTTTTTTTTTTTTAAATGACTAGAATTTGATCAGTATTTGTTGTATAAAATAGTATTTAGTTTTTTTAAATACACCTCGTATGCTGAACTTGGCCTCTTTGGACATTATTTGAAACTGAAAAAATCTTACATATTTCTTTAGTAAGCAAATTATGCAATGCAACATACTGTGGAATCTGTAACATCTGCTCCTTTCTGTTCTTTATCACCATTTAATTCACCAGGGTTTTCTGCTGGTGAATCCAGAAGTTGTCGATTGGCAGATTGAATTCTAGCGAGCAAGTCTGCCTTTCTTGCTTCTTGGTCTCTTACTAAATTTTGCTGCGATTGATTATGTTCTGGAAAAAAAGCAAACATACTTTGCTGTTTTTTGAGCAGTTTGTTTTTGGCAAGTTTCGGTTTTGGTTGCATACCAAGAGTGTCAGATGGTCGAAGAACACCTCTACCTTTGGTACCATCCCACACACTGTTTCCACCAGAATTGGAAAAAGATAGTGGTTGTCGCTGCAGGTCATCGCGTGGCAGAAAATCATGCCTAGGTGAACTTGATTTTAACTCCCAAAACAAAGAATCGAACGATTGCTCACGTTTTAAATTTCCTCTTTGCAAAACTCGTTTTGGGAGTGCACCAGATGGACCTACAAGAATTAAATTTTCATTAATAAAAATATACACAATAGCAATAATTTGAAATTAAAATATAGCGACTCTCAATTTATATTTTGGTGTACAGCCTGCCAGATGGTCTCAGATATCTGAGTCCCGCAGTGGACTGATCGTTAAGGCACGGTTCCCAGCAGATCACCGAAGTCAAACATCACTGGCTGCGGTCAGTGTGCTGGTGGGTGACCCACTTGGATCAGTCTGCGTAGGGACCGAGGGTGTGCGGTATGGGTCCTCGTTAAGCTGTGCTACCTTAAAGTGCTCGACTTCGCGTGCAGGTCGTTGGGCTACCGAAGCGGGGGTGCCATCCCCTCTGCAGAGGATCAAAATTGTGATAGCATGTCTTCGGATCATCCTCAGGATGTTTCCCAGACCGTCGCCAATAGCCCATTGTGCAGCTCTAGTGCGACGTAAATGAACTACAACAACAGATATCTGACTGGCTTGTCTTCATTTTAATATTGCGCTTACTTTGTCACCAGTAGAGCAATTTGTTTTTTAAAAAATTCTATTGATTTTTACTTTCTCTAATGACATTGTTGTTTTCCAAACCATGGAAGAACTTCAACGAGCATTTCTTTCTCTGAGAGCTGTTATGAGTAAAAATTGAAATTTATATATCCATGCACCAATAATAAACCTCATTTTAAAATAGGAAGACGCATATTTGAAACTGCTTATTGCTTAAGAAACTTAGGCTTTGTAATGAATGCATTGAATAATTTAATACAAAATTTAAAATGTTTCAAATTTTGTTTTTTAGTAGTATGTATGTAATCAAACTGTCCATTCACAAGACATAATGATCAAACCCATTCTCACATGCAGTGCTGAAGCGTGTGTTATGTGTTATGAGAAAGATTAGGCTCTTGCTGTGTTTGAAAGAAAAATTTTAGGAAGCATAATTGGAGAAATAAAATGAAATAATCATTGAAAAGGGATTAACTCGTAAACTTTCAAATTATTTGGAAAAGTAAAATATTATTGAATTTATAGTAATACAGAGGATCAGATGGGCAGAACATTTAATAAGATTGGATGACAATCGAAACATGAAAAAGATATTGACTAAACCACCTGGTGCAGCAGTCAATAAAGTCCCAAAAAAGGGTGATTCAAAGCTTAGGCGGATTGACTGCCTTGGGGAAAAAATCTAACGGTTACAAATATGTAAACCTCAACCAAGTACTTGAAGGCTTGTGGAATGGATTATAGTGAAAGACAAGGGTTGTGGCCTTAGTGAGAGAGAAGAATATTTTTGGGTCATTTTTTAAACAAATGGACTTTTTTTTACCAACAATATTACTCCCGTCAATAACACTCCGTTAAAGATCGGCATTACATTATCAATGATATTACTTATTTTTTTTTTTTTACCTGAGTTTCTAATGTCTTCTTGATATCCTGGAAGCATGTCTAAAGTGATACCCTTAGCTGGATTATTGTGAAACCTAAGAATCGGGACTGAGGAACTTTTAGCTAGTTGGACAACAATGTGGTTAAGGTTAAAACTGCTGCCTACTGACATCAGTTGTGCATGAAGATCAAGCATACTGATGCATTCGCCAGTTAGAGCATTCCACAGTTGAAGAGTATTATCTGAGGAACCTGCAGATGTTTCGAGAAGTAATTAGAAATTATTTCAATCAAGTTTGTATTTTAAAAATCATTTCATTTTGTATTTATTTAACTAGCACTATAAAGAACAAAAATTATACATTTAAAATATGCATGGATAGTAAAATTTGAAAGCTAACACTTTGCCAACCAATCTGAAAGATCTTGTTTGGCAGTAGTTAGTTGTAACTGTTGAAAAATGCGCAGTATCTAGTTTATTATACTCAGGCATAATTCGTTCGGTCAGCAAAGTGTTAACTAAATGATAGAAAATACTAGTATATTGAATGATAGCGAATAGTGATCTAGTTCAGTCTTTAATTTGGAAATCGCTATTCAATTCAACACTACTTAAACTATTACGTAATACAACTTTGCAAAATGTATATAAATGAATACTTTACATATAACTAATTTTTTAACACTAATTATTACTTAAGGCAACATAACAAAATGAATAATAACTATAGTGTTGCCAATAGATAAATACAAAAGTTTTTTTTGTATGCTATATAAGAAATGTCCAGCCCAAAGGCTGAACTGTATCTCTGAGTAGAATAAATCGATCGATTGTCATTCCCATCTTCCCTATGGGATAATTCATATTTACATCCCAATACGAATGTATTCCTATTGCTGTTTGTAACTTATTTGCTGTTTGTAACTTATTGATCATTGATCGATTGCCACTGGACAGGTAAGTGAAGTAACATCAGTTTAGACATCTTTTTTGATTAACAACTGACTAAACTAGTTTTAGTCAATGATGTATTACGATAAGTAGTTTTTGAAAAGCTTTTACAAATTTGAAAACTTGCTAATACTATATTAAACGGAAACTTACTGTGCCATTGAATATATAGAGTCACAAAACATACCTGAAAGTAAAACTGAGCCATTTGGAGTTAGCTGAATCCATTTTATGGTATCTGTATGGCCTCTGAGTGTGAAAATAATATCGCCTGTAAATAAATCCCACAAAATCAAAACACCATCTGATGATCCAGATGCTACAACTGAAGATTTTAAGGGCGCTAAAGACACGCATGTGACAGGTGCTTCATGGCCAGCAAGAACCTATTTGTGAAATATTAAACATTATGACATCATACCTAAAAAATCACTAGTAATTGTTTATCTAAAATATTCATACACAAGGACAATTTAGAGAATAAGAACTTTAAAGTGGCAATTTTCAGAAAAAAATGAAATTTCTCGGGGAAAGATCTATTTTTATTTCAAAACTAAGCATTATTTTTGTTTTGCTAAATATCTAAATTTCGTACCTTTCATTGAAGTTGAAGTTCTAAGTGTATTTGATTACAAACAAATGACAACAAACTTACAAGTATTACTTATGCATGTCGCGGCCCCTAGGCAATGCTCGTCTCGCCCCCCTACCGTCTTCTAACTTCCTAATATATTTTTTCGCTAACACAACACTTTATTCATAATTACGCTGTTTTTTACTACATAGGTATATTATCACATTATTCAATAAAAATATTGAATCAAACGAAAAGAATATAAGTAATTAATATATGCATTAAAAAAAATCATACAATAAACTTAAATATTAACTCTTCTAACTTTTTTTGTTACAAAATCGTTCAAGACATCCTGAAAGTTAACCTTTTCCAATACATCATTTTCAATTGCCATTATGGCCAATGAATTTAAACGGTTTTGAGACACAGTTGAACGAAGACAGTTTTTAATTAATTTCAATTTGGAAAAGTTTCGTTTTTCAAGCATGTTGTGTTAAAAAAGCTGCTCTTGCTGTATAGTCATCTGATTAGTCAGCGTTAAAATTACCGCGATAAAATTGCTTGCGATTATATTACTGCGTTATATATGAACTAACTACCATAATATTAATATCTAATTTGGAATGCGTTCAGAAATGTACTAAAATAGCGTCGGTGTAATGTACAGAGGAAGACAATCGTCATTAAAATTTCGAATTAAATTTTTACTGTTTAAGAAACATTGTCAATTTTTTTCTCTGTAGCACAGGGCCCCTAGGCAGTTGCCTACAGTGCCTAATGGATAAAACGGCCCTGCTTACAAGCTTCTCTAAAGGCAACACATTGATTATAATACCAACAATGAGATAACTAAGTCGCGACAAGCGAAGGTTTTCTTTCTTTTTTTTTTTTTTTTAATTACCAATTAAAAGCTTGAAGTGGAGAAATAAAGGTTAGGCATAGTCCTTTTTTACGTAGACGTTGCGAATTTGCTTTTTAATAAAAAGTGAAACCCATTAAATATTTCACGACCACATATGGATGCAAATTCAGGATTCGTTAAAAATGTATGTTTTTGAATCTTGTTTTATATCAATAGTCGAAAACCATAACTAGCTTTGTAACTTTCATTAAATGGGCGCTTTGTACCTATCTCGTATTTTTCTCACATAATACACAAAAATTCTAGCAATATAACGAAAATTGTTGTTAACTGCAGATATCTGAGTTGCATTTAACGCATTTTCCCATACTGAGATACATCTCAAATTTTATGTGTTAAACTTTCATCTTCAGAAACATTCCTGAAACATAAAGATTTTAAGTAATAAAAAGAAAAATGCATAAACTTTAAATCTAATTCATATGAAGTCACAGGAATGTAACTTTAGAACATTCTTCCACACAGTATATTTATATAGTATATTATAATAAAATGCCATCTCACACTGATAGACTGATTGCAAGGTCAATAGATCACAAAATTAATCAAGCATCACTGGCAGTGATCATTGTCTGCGAAGGGACGGTAAGCAAAGAATTATTATTCTTTGCCTAAGTGCGCTGTATCGGTTTACTTAAAACTGTTAGCATAAGTTCTTGGTTTCACGTGCAGATTGTCGATCTACAAAAGAGGGGAAACCCTCCCCTCTGCGGAGGATCGAAATTTTGGAAATACATTGGATTAAAAATACTATTTTTTAAAAGCTTTAGTGTATTTTAATTTATATTAGAGCATCTGTAACAGCGTTTCCAATTTTTTTATAATCTCTTTAGAATCAATTAAGAATGTTATTTTTACTTACTTGGGTAATTTTAGCAGTGGAAACTTCCCAATATTTGATTGCTTTGTCTTTGGATCCAGTAATTAAGTTCTCATAATCATCTGTGACTGCATAACACAAAATAGTATCAGTATGGCTCACTTTTACTTCATTATTATAGTCCATCAGTGGCCAGTACTTCAAGCTATTAAAGTTGAAGAGTTTCAATTTAGTTAATTACGGATAGCAGCTTATTCATGAAAGCTTATAATTAAAATATTTTATTTGAGATGGAAGATGAAAATTACTAATGAAATTTTAAAACTTAAAATAATTCTATTCTTAGTTCTGGTTCTTGCATACGTAAAAAAATATGTCATAAGACAGAATCCTCCCTGCATATTCTCGGAGAAGATGATAAAAATTTGAGTGATAAGTACCATAAACCAGAATGAATTTTTGCAATTAATATTTTCTACAACTGCTTCATATGTTGTATCATTTTAATACAAGTTACCACAGAAGTTATTTTTCTTTTGTTGCCCGTTACTAAATAGGCATTAAAGTATCGATGGCAAAAAAAAAAAAAATTAACATTTATATTTTTTAATTTTTAGCATTATGCAGTTCTCATTTCAAAAGGGCATATAGTTAAATGTAGGGGCCATTTAACTATATGCCCAATTAACTATAGTTGGGCTCAAGAGATAGAGCATTTGCCTCCTAATGAGGTGCCCAAGGTTTGAATCCTAGCGATGGCTGGTCGATATGAATTCTGTTTCCGGCTCATACCGACCATAATGCTGACATAAAGCATTCTCAGGCGTTGACGGATCATCGGTTAGAATCCCCTTACCGCCGGGCTAATCGTGGGAGATTATCCAATCCATGTAACGCAAATGAGGATTAGTTCCATCAAAAAGTCCAAAAGTTTGTCCCAATGCTTAATTGAGGAGCTCCCCTGTCTTTTGGATTGGGTTCAAAATTACTAGGCTAAGGAGTTGCAATTTGATAGTCGTAAACTCAGAATTGGATCGGCATGTTCAACGCTGATTATAAAATAAAATGTAAAGTGATGTCACATATGACAGAGCTATATATTTTTTTATTTTTCCTTAAAGTCACACGACTAAGCATGTTCCTTTTCAGCTGTAACGCATGAAATTAAAATAAATAAATCATTCTGTAAGCATATTGTTAACAATATTTTGTAAACAGTATTATATATTTTGTATACAGGAAGATATTCACTTCATTCTAGATCACATAAAAATGTAATGCCCAGTAGGATAGAATTTCAAAACAGAAATATCAATCATTTTCCGACTAACTAGATCATTCAAATCTTTACTGGAACTCGGTGGCTGACGACTATGCAAATTTCAGTTTTCTGACTACCACAAATAGAAATTGTCAGAAATTCTGAACATTTTTCCGATTAAAAAGAGTGTTTAAGGTATCTGACTAGTTTCCACACATTTTTTTTAAAAAGGCGCGATTAAAATTTTAATTTTGTGTTTTGTACGCAGGGTTCTAAAATTATAAATTTAAAGTGAAGTTTGAAAATTCATAAAATATTTTTAAAATAAGTGCAAATTGGAGCTTAAACACTGCCAATTTTTAATATCGCGCTCTACAAGATATCGCTGCATAAATTTCTAGATAAATAATATTTTTTTCTAGATAAATAATGTAATTACCTGTGTTTTAATCTGAAATCTTTAAAAAAATGTAAAAAAACAAACAAACAATGAGGAACTAATCACTTTGTTTATTGTCGAATTTTTAAAGAACAATTCTAAATATTCTTGCTTAAAGCTTGATAAAAATAACAAATTCTAAATTAGCTTTTGGTTCAAAACATTGCTGCAAAATCTGCATTCAAAATTTCAGACAATTCTATAACAAACTTTTTTTTTGTAATGTGTGTTTTTTTTTGTAATCAAAATCAACGTTCCTCAGTAAATGCATTTAAAATGCAAGAAAATCCATAAATGTAAGAAAACTATGATAACAAAAAAATTTTTAATTTAAAAATTAATTTCTGAAAATGAATTTTATTTGTCTTAAAAATATAATTTCGTCAAATAAATAAGGGTTGAACTACTCAAAGCGAAACAAAAACATTTTCGTTTCGTTTCCAAGAGCTTTCTTCCAATTTTGGTTTCGTAAAGATACCTGTAACTTCATTTCAAAAAATCGGAAATAAAATTTTAAAATTTTTTGAAAAGATAAGGAACTAAAATTTAAATGTTGATTTTTTTAAAAGAAAATCAAAATATTCATAGAAATTGACGATTTTCACTTAGTCGGATACCTTAAGGCTGTTTTTCGCAGCCTCTGTCGTAATATGAAACGATGCCTTTTTGCGAATAATATGCTATTTTTATAACTGCTGTGAGTTTGCAACTGATACTCATGACTGTTTGGCCTATCTATAGCCAGCGTTATCTACGCTTATTTTGAAAATGGTGCAAAACATTTATAAGGAGAAAAGCCACAGTTTTGTGAAAATAAAAAGCGTCTGTGGTCTAATTTTTTCATTTTTAAAAACTTATTCCAATGCTGCATTACCTGGTCTCATAAAAAATTTCAAAAACTGAGAATACGGCAGTGATTTTGATAATTTTCATCTAGGTGGGAAAATGTCGCCAAATGGCGATTTCCAAAAAAGTTTAATAACTTTTAATATATTTATATTATTTGTCTGTTCTGAAGCCCAGATATTTCTTCACAGCAAGATTATATATATAGTTTAAAATCATCGCATTGCTTCAAGCGTAAGGTACTTAAACTATGGCTTTTTCATTTTCTTTGGCGACAGAGCTTCGAAAAGCAGCTTTAAATCTTTGCTGGAGCTTTGCCGAAAAAATGAAAAATTGAGATTTAAAAATTTAATTTCATTTATTTTATGATTTTTACTTACTCTTTATCAACTACGGCAAAGACAACGTTTCCACGGATGGTAACCAGAGTGGATGGTCTTTTAAAGGAATACATTAGCTGTCCATTATCTGACGTCCACAGTTTGTGATTTCCCTGAATATCAACCGACAAAATTCTTCGACTGTCAGAGGCTACGCAAACATTTTGAATTTTGCTTTGATGTTCCTAAAACATTCGTTTATTTCTATAAACCAGATTCACAAAAATAATATAAAGAAAATAATTTATTACAAAGAAAATTATAACCGAGAACACATTAATTTTTTTAATAACTATGTTAAATGATACTATCAATCAATATGAGGAAAATTTAAAAAGTTTGACATTATTACATATTAGCGTCAAATTCACGAGACGACAGTTCATGATGAATTTGATGCCTATATTCAAAATACATATTTTAGGCATTTTTATAAAAACTGCTATATTTTTATATTGGATTCTAAAGTACTAACAATATCTTTTAAAGCTCCATTCAACAGCAGGGAACAAGTTTTTTTTTCTTCTTGTGCACTTGATCTTATTGCTTCATTCGGGTGTAGAGATTTAAAATCAAATTAGCTTCGCTCCTAAACCTACAGATTTTTTTAAAAGATATTTTTTTGTCGAAATGCAGAAGCTTAAAAACATTATGTATAACAGAAGCACGCATGTATGTTGCGTCAAACGTCCAGCAGAGTTAGGGCATTTAGATTAAAACAGCATAGGAACCCATGCCCGGCAATGTCGTTGTTCGCGTCTAGGAGGGCTTCCCTATCATGACCTGTTTATAATAAAGAAGGACCCTTAGCTGCGACATTTCTGGGAATGGGATCTTATGCAATTTTAATACTGATGATGTACCCTAACGAAGTTTGTTCCAAAAAATCGACTTAGAGATTGCAGAATGGAAAGATCAACCGATTGCAGATTTGAAATCAGCAATAGAGAAGCATCTAAGATCTGTTTAAGAAACTTCTTATGAAACTGAAAACAAAAAGAAAAATACTGTTCACCTGCTTAATAGATTTGTTAATCGATTAATTTAATTATTTATTAATTCAAGAACTTCTGAAATTTTTACGCAAATTACTAAAGTACTTGCGATTAAATTCAATTTAAAGTTATACATTATTTTAAATATGCCTTTTTTTCTAATACAATAAACCAGATAATTTTATTGCTTATTATTATTATTATAAGAAAATCGAATTTCAGCAAATTTTAAATTCTAAGTAAGACATTTAAATGCTAAGTAATGGATATTGTATACAACAAAGAAAAAGAGATAACATAAAGTAATTCATTTATATTTAGTTTATGAATGTTGCAAAATCAAATGAAAGTTATAAGGCAAAAATCACCTGAAATGTTTGTTCTACAAGACCTAATGTCAACCCGAAAACTCTTAAAGTCGTATCTTCAGATCCAGAAACTACAAAAAGACCATTAGGAGCAAATGTAACACAAGTTATAGGAGCAGTATGGCCTGATAGTGAATGAGTAACTTCTCCTGTTGTCAAGTTCCAGATTTTAAGAAGATTGTCCCTCGAGCCTATTAAGAGATAGAACATAATAGATTAAAGAACTATTTCTAAATTATTCCTTTCAAGAATAAATTCGTCTCTTCAACATAGCTCTTTCAATCAAAATATGAAGTAAATTTATAAAATTATAGTGAAATTTTGTCAACACACGCGATTGCTTTGCATGTGTATGTTAAAAGCAAATCAGTTTATCGTATTTTAGAGATATTCCCCAAATAAAAAAAGGAAGATAAGAAACTAATGAACGTGTACAATTGTTTTTTTCGTTATGGTGAGTAGCTTTTTTCATTAAATCAGAAATTTTTTTTAAATCAAATCTTCAATAAGACTCGTGAATCCTAGCTTTTTCTGATAGTGTGTTGAAAATAGATTTAGAGCATTTTGAAAAAAAAAATTATTCAACAATTGCAAACTCCAAAAAAATTCTGATAAAGTTATTTTAGAGGTCACGTAAAAATGAAGTATTCCATTTAAAAAAAAAGGATTTTTTCTAGAAAAAAATCCTTAACTTTTCTAAGCTTTTGCATTATAAAATGTGATAAAATGTACCCACGCATGCAGTGTGCTGAATAAGAAATGGACCACTCTGAATAACTAATGTAATGACTAATGGTCGGATCTTCACGTTCTAAAAAATCTAAATGGTTCAAGGGAGTAACCTCAAACTTGCTAATTAATTAGTGCAAATGATATTCAAAGATACGAAATCAAATAAGAAAACGTACTTTCTCAACAAAACAAAAAAAACATACTTTCTTATAATGGATTTGGATTTCTGACCCCAAAAATATAGGGGGTAGCCGCAATCTGGGAAATATGATCTCCATAGTTATATTCCTTAATGTTAATTTTATTTTTTGTGTATTTTGCCGTATCTCTAGAACTATTTAAGCGAATTAAAAAAAATAAATTATAAAATTCGTTTATCCAAAGGTAATTCCAGGCAAAAATAACAATTAGCAAATATTTATTATTTTATTTAATAACGGCCGAAAAAACTTGACTGGCAAGGTATGCAAGTATTTTTTATATTATTTTAAACAATGTAATTTTGCATTTCAAAATACGAAATTTGAATGAAATTAGTCGAATAGTTCCTGAGAAATCTAATTTGAAAAAAAGGCGTGTGTATAGACAAGGCGATTTTATAAATTCTTAGAAATAATGTAAAAGATTGTAAACCTTACAATTTAAAATTTTTTTGATTATTAAAATAAATTCTAAAAGTTATTTTTTGCGTGGCATTGTCTTTGAATGAATAAATTTTCTAATTGTGTGATGCAAAAGCATTTCAATTGGTTTAAAAATTTCTCGCGATAACAGAAATACGCAAAATATAAAATTAACATTATGAGGTCCAAATTTTAGACAGCTCCCCTAGCCAAACTGTTGAGACCGTATTTCTTAGATTGCGCTTACCCTCTATATTTTGGGGGTCAGAAATCTTAATCCGTCGAAAAAAATGTATATTTATTCGGAGAAAGTACAGGAGGTGGACGAAATAATGGAAACGCTTTTACAGTAACACATTTTTCACATTTCTCAAGAAATACATAAATACTCTTTTTATAAATTTAGAAATGTTTAGATCATGTGATTTCTCATATTAATCAATATTGTTTAAAGATCTTAGAGCATTGAGGGTCCCACAATAAATTACAAACGACGAATGATGTTTTTAAGCACCCTATACCAAAGAATTTAGCTGTAAAATGGCAATTTTTAAGAATTATTTTGGTTATTATAAGCAATAACTGCGCGAAATTTCGCAAGCCTAGCTTAAATATATTTGGAGATATGGATATTTTTATAACGAACTAATTTTTTTATTTTACGTTTTTTAGCTATAACTTTAAAATCCAATATTCACTCTAATTAAACAAATTTTTAGAGCAATTTAAAATGAATTAATTTTTTTTTTAAAGTTTGAATTTTTTTTTTTGAAAAGTGTGCAATACATAAGTAATTAAAGTAGTTCTTTAATACTGCGTATGCGCGGAAAGGATTGAATTTGTTTTCATAATTTTGTAGTGAATCATATTTGGCAACAAACGGAAAAAGTCCGATTTGTATATCTTAAAAATTTTAAGAGTCTGAAGCAATTTTCTTAGTTGTTTTTGTACTTTTTAAAAGAAACCGAAAATGATAAGTGGTTTTCTACAAATATTATTTTGTATCATTCGACAAAGTTAAATAACGAATGATAGTACCTTACAATAAACATTCATGCACCTAAATATGATTGTATAAGGAAAGAAAACATGCGAAAGAAAAGATACTTTCAACAATGCCTGTGTGACTTATAATAAATCTAGTTTATTAGTACAAAATGAAGCCAGTGGGAAACCCCTGATTGTTTTGAGCTTTTTTTTTAAGAATTAGAAAACCTACGTAGAAAATTACTTGAAGCTTTTTAAATTTTTAAGCTATTCAAATCAAACGTTTTTTTTTAATATATTGCCAAATACGATTCACTACAAAGTTATAATATATATATATAAAAAAAGGAAGATAAGAAACTAATGAACGTGTACAATTGTTTTTTTCGTTATGGTGAGTAGCTTTTTTCANTATATATATATATATATATATATCAGAAGTACCCAAATGATTTTTTTGATTAAATGAATTTTGAGAAAAATCCCAGATCATTTTGAGCTCTCTTTTAAAAGGTACGAAAACTACTTAGAAAATAACTTGAAACTTTTCAAATTTTCAAGATGTTCAAATCGAACTTCTTTTATTATTTTCCAAATACAGATTCACTACAGAATTAAGGAAAAAAAATTTAAAATTTCCTGTCCATATCTTGCGGAATTTTAAGCAAATTTCTGTCCAACTTTAAAACAATAATTTTGTCATTAATTTCAAACTGTTCCAAAAATTTTGTTTAATTTCATTGTATATTTTTAAAGTTATAGCTAAAAACTTATGACAAAAAAAATTAGTTTTTTATAGAAATGTCCGTATTTTTATAAGTATGTAAGATAGGTTTACGAAATTTTGTGTAATTATTGCATACAATAACCAAAACAATTATTACAAGTTACGAATTTATTGCAACATTTTTTGGTTTCAAGTGTTCAAAAACACTGTTCTCCGTTTGTAATGTACTGTCCGTTCCTCAAACATCTAAAAGTTTTAAACTTTATTGTAAACTATGAAAGTTTTTTACATCTAAAAGTTTTAAACTTTATTGATAAGTATGCTGAATCGCATAATCTAAATATTTAAAAAAGGAATTTCTTAGTATTTTTTTAGAAATATCGAAAAACGTATAAGTATAGAAGTGTTGCCATTATTTTGTACAACCCCAGTACGTTTTTGTGTCTGATTTCACTATTTAAAATATCACATGAACTAATTAATTAGCATATTTGTGGTCACCCTCTTGAACCAATCAGATAGAGTCCCAGAACGCGAAGATCTGATCATTGGATCAAAAGTTATTCTAGGCGGTCTGTTTTTTTTTCTTTTTCCGCGCACTGTTTGTTACTGTCTCAATATCTGTGTGTAAGCAGGATCTACGATCCGCATTGCATATCACAGAAAGCATTCTGTTAGGTTGTATTAGTAATTTTAAAAACTAATAGAGTTTGTCATGTCTATAAGAAATTGAACCATCGGCAACCATAACGTAAAAAGAACTGAAAAAAGAAAAACACATCGCTATTTTGTTTCTTTAGATTCCACCCACTTAATCGTAATAAAAGGTGGTTTTCATTTTAAATAAAATCGATATGTTTAAAATGGATAACACTAAATGAGCTTGTCACAGTTACTTTGCTGTCTATGCACGATATTATTAGGAAAAAGTGAAAGCCCGCATAAACTTGGACGTAAACTTCTTGAAAGTAATTTAATCATTTAACGGATAATATGAATATGTTATACCTGTCACAGCCACTGTCCCATCCTTTGAAACTGCAAGGCACATAATTGGTTCTCGGTGACTATCGAGCCTCTTCACTTTCGGCTTAATAAATCCATTTATTTCGCGTTTTGGCGGTGTGAAATTCCAAACAACTACCTTATTTCCTCCAGCAGTTATCAAAAACGTGTCATGATGTTGAACCTGCAGTAACAATTAACTTTTTAAAAATATACAAAGTGTAAGTGTTGTGTTCTTAATTTAGTATATACAATAAGATTATAAAGATGTTACTTCTGCAATTGATGCTTAATTTAAGATTTATCTTTTTAAAACAACTTTCAAGTATTACGCAAACTCCTAAGAAAAAGGTGTTTGAGATTTCTTTCTTTTTTTTTTCAAGCTAGGGTGTATACATATATTTATGCAAGGTACAAATTTTCCTTCAGAAATTCCTTACAACAATTATTATTTTCGATTTTTTACTATTTATTCTTAGACTATATTTCCTTAGCTTTCCAAAACCATTTAAACTTTTGATGTTCGATTTTTAGAAATAAAATTATCATTCTTTTTCGTCTGCTGACAGACGAAAACGAAACTATTTTTTTCTTCATATTTCGAGTATTATAACCTTTTTTTTACTTGGACAAATTATGGATAAATTATGTTTAAATTAGGTTTTTAAATCAAATAAATTTCCTTTTCAAAAATTAAATTTCGAATTTTAAATTTCTTTGTTGTCAAAATTTTTCTTGCATTTTAAATGGCGTGTTACAGGAGAACGTTGATTTTGAGATTTTTTTTTACAATGACATACATTGCAAAAAAAAGTTTATTATAAAATTCTTTGAAATCTTGTTTGCGGATTTTGCACAATGTTTGCGATGTTTTGAACTAAAAGCTAAGATCTAAGAGTGAATTTGCCATTTTTATTAAGTTTGAAGTAAGAATATATAAAAATCTTTTTTAAAAATTCATTGTTAAAAAATATATTTAGTTCTATTTCATTTTTTTTTTGAAAAAAAAATCCGATTTTAGTTCAAAATAGAGGTACTCACATTATTGACCTGGGAATTCTTATTTTATTAATTTATTGTTGAGCTGTTACAGCCAGATAAAAAATTTGTAGTTTTTAAGCTCTAATTTGCCCTTATTTTGAAAACTATTTTATGTAATTTTAATAACGTCTTTTTAAAAAAAAAATTGCGTTGAAACCAATCAGACACGTTAAAGAAGGTTTCTAGCAAGTGGCCTTCTAATTTCACAAAACAAACGGGTTTTTAATGTTTTTAATTCATCGTATTTTCTCTTCGACCTCCACTGACCAAGAACTCCATTGACCAAAATTCATTAATGCTTTTTCTCTCACTTAAATATAAGTTTGCGACCCCGAATACGCTCTTTGTTTATTTCAGTTTTACTATAATGTTAAAATATATGTTAAGGACGGCCATTAGGCAATACCCTGTATATATTTATATAAAGTATAGGTATGAAGTAGTTTCACCCTTTGACGCAGATACGATATCAATGTCCTTCATACATATATATATATTTCTGACTCTTTAATTGCAAGTTAAAATACATTTTAATATTTTTTAAATATAAGAAACAGTCTAATAATTGCTAAAAAAATCTGTTAGATTATCGGAATTATAATTGTACTAAAATATAAAATTCAAAAAAAGTAGTTTGAAAAGAATGTGTTTTAATTTATATTCAAAAATCTATTAATAATTGATACAGCAAATTAAAGAAATTTTAATGATGAATAACTGTTTCTCTTAGATCTAAATAAATAAAAATAAGTGCGATTTGAAAGAAAAAAAATATCGCTTGCAATTGAGTTGTGTTTGGAAAACGCAGAAAAAAACCGGTATCCATGCTGTATGACCATAAGTTATTAAAATGCTAAACATAATGTTTTTCACTCATTTTGTTCCAAATGAACACGAAATAACGAAATGTTTAATGTAATGTTTTAAAAAAGTCAATGACTTAAAACCAAAACTAAGCTCACCGTATTTTACTTTCTATTTCAGTTTAAAACTACAACTTTAAATTGTATTTTAGCAGACTAAGTTAAGTTTTCTCATACCTGCACACTACAAATGGAATCCGTATGTCCAGTGAGAGTAGTGATTAGAGATGCTGAGTGGATATCGAATACAAGGCATTTTCCATCAGCGCAACCCACCACGCAACGGCAATTGTCGTGTCCAAAGCACACCGACGTCACTTCCGATGATATCTCTTGAAGACAATGGACTTCGGAGCCTGTAGTCAACGAGCGGACATGAACTGATTGGTTAAGGCAAGCAACAACCAGGAAGGTACTATCTTTGCTGATATCCATACGACATATTCCAGAAGGCAAATTAATGGTGTTGAGTAGAGAGTAGTTATCTAGACTCCAAACGCAAACTGATTTGTCACTGGATCCTGGAATATATAAATAATAAATAGTCTTATTCCAGATCTTCGCTAAATTCAGGGGATATCGCAGGAAATAAATGATAAAATAAGGACGAAAAGTCTTTAAACAAATATTTCATATTGCAACGTTTTTGAAGTTGAGTTTCAGAGATTGTGGTCCACGAGGTAAACAATTGTTTTTTTCCCCCTTAAATATACTTTCGAGTTTTGAATTTTAATAAGGAAATGTTATTATTTGAAAAAGAAAAAAACTAAAATGTTTTGTTTTCCTAATACAGTGAAATCTCCTGGAAAGCACACCTCTGTATAGCGATGTCCTCTATTTAAGACCGCTTTTGACAGGCGCGGAATTTTTTTCATTGACTTTGCGTGGAAGAAAACTTTTAAGAGAGACCACCAAAACCTCTCTCAGCGGCCGGGCAAACCTCCGTACCAAAAATCAAATAAGGAAACACAAAAGAAGATCAGAACAAAGATTATTACGTAGACAAATAAATAGTTTCAAACGTATTCAAAATATTTGTAAGTGGCTCTAATTTAGATTGTTCTTTTTGACGGTCTCTGAAAAAGATAGATAACCTCAGGTTGCAGTTGCACTAAAGTTGATGCTATCAATCATTTATTTTTTAAGTTGAAAGTTGAATTAGAAAAAAAGGAGTTATTTTAGAAAAAAAGAGATCAATTTAGAAAAAGGATCTCAAAACAAACAAACCTATTCTTATTTTTCATAAAGCAGATAATTTTTTATGATATAAAATTAAATGTGAACTTAAACAAAAAAAAATCATAATTGTTTATTTTTTTAAAATAGTTCTATGATCATAATTGGTAAATTTGTTTTCAAAAATATCAGTAGCAGTCATTTCTATAGACGTTTTTATTCATCGATCTGGTTTTCATGACGCCAACACAGATGTCATTTCTGCACCAAGAAAATGACACTGAGTTAAGTAAAGTAACGCAACTTTATAAAAGCCATGTATCTTCGATAACATTTTGAAGTCGATGAAGGTAAGCCCTACTAAAAACGACCAACCTCCATTAACAACTAGTTTACTGTGGGACAAAAAGTGGTCTTCCCAAAGTGGTTTCACTGTAACTGTAAATTCTTGCGAAACAAGAGAAGAGGCAACGATTTTGCCTAAAGTATTGAAGCAAAAACCCCACTGACGAAGGCAAATGCCGAAAAATAAAACAGTATCTTTCACCTATACCTATTTAAAAATATTTTTAAAAATTTCTTTAATATTTTAATTTGAATGTAATTTTATAATGTTATCAATACAGTTTGTGCAAAATATAAAGTTTCGGCAAAAAAAATAATAAATAAATAATAAAAAAAATAAATGCAAAGAGTGAAAATATAATTACGGGAGTCAAACTTTTGACCAGAGGGGTAGAAAGTTTTAAGAGTCTATTGCTTACCAAGAACATAGTTTTCCCCCTAAAATTATAACGCTTTTAATTAAGTTACAATAATTTTTTCAAAATACTTTCTAAAAGTAAAGTTCATATCTTGTTTAAGATTTTTGTTATTTTTTTTCTTTATCGAAGTAAAAAATTCAGAAAATAACACATTTCTTTACTTTAACTGGACTACAACTGATTGCAAAGGGATTAACTGGATTACAAAGGATTAACTTTGTGACTAAACTTAAGTATTAAATTAACTGTTACAAAGGATTAACTGTGATAAAGAAATAAAAATTAAATTATACTCAAATCGTAATATTTCAGAAACTAAATTTGAGGAATCAATTTAACGAATTCAAATTAATAAATAAGCAAATTGACTTATACTTTTTTTAGGAAACGTTTTGTAATACTGCGGATTTTTTTTTAAAATTTTTTAATTTACAAAATTTGAAGCATTTTTTTTTAATTCGACCAAAAATTTCCTCTGGGTTGCGTAAATTTCCCCGAACCTCGTTCATTCAGACGATTGGTTCAATCTCTAAGCCAGTGATTCTCAACCTTTTTTTTGTGTTCCATTTCGTAATTTAATTCGTAGAATTAATTAATTAGTGCATATAAAATATGTTCTGCTCACCATAAACTTTCATCTAAGTATGCGAAAATCTGATCACAGGATTAGAAGTTTTTGAAAATGGCACAATAATAAACTATAAAATTAGTTTTCTAAAACGCTGAAGGAAAGGTTAACGGCTCAAACATTACAAGGCACCAGCATCTATCTATATAATATTATAATTGTTTCTCAGTTTTTAAAATTTAATTAAACGAAAGAATTCTTAATTGTAAGGACATATTTTTATTATTTCCTTTCTTAAGAATAATTCGACCGATTCTGCTCAAAATTTGGATTCGGTTATTACAAATAACTTAGTGTAAAACAATGCCCGAAGCAATGATATCGTCATCATTGATTTACTAAATATTTTGTAAATACCTGTAGCAAATATATCGTCATCGCTGTTGACAGATATGCAGCTAATGAGTCCACGATGTGTATCTAAGCGGTGTAGTTCTTGACCGGAGTCCAAGCTTGATATGATGACCACACCTATTTCAGATCCACTTATCATAATTGCTTCTGAATGGGTGGTTTGTATACATAATACACCAGTTATGTGATTGCTGTACGTAATAAATATACAATATTAAAATCGTATCAAGCAGACCTTAAAAAAATACAAACTAATTGTAGAAATGTTTAAGTAAGTAAATTTTAAGAAATCAGTAAGATCCATTGCCGTTTACCGATATGAGTTATAAGCTTAGAGAAAGAAACACTGACATAAGGACTAGGCTTTAGAGGGGACAAATAACTTAAAAATTTTAAAAGCTATTAAACTTTCACAAAACTTTTTCCACCTTGATGAAAGTTGTTAAAAAAATCTATGTCTTATTCAGATTTTCTACAATTTTTTTAGCCCAGATAATGCAGCATTGCAGTAAGTTTTTAAACATTAAAAAATTAGACCACAAGAACTTTTCATTTTCTTAAATTTGTGGCTTTCCTCCATATTGACGTTTTGCGTCATTTTCTGAATAAACATGGAGGGAGCTGGCTAACGATGGACTAAATTTCACCTATCAGTCATGAGCATATATGGCAGTACTTTTACTTTCGTTACTTGTACCGCCGGTACAAGTAAAAAGTACGTACTTTTACTTGTACTTCGTTACTTTTTAAATTTAGTACTTTTACTTGTACTTTCGTTACTTTTTTAGGGAAAAAGTACAAGTATTTGTAACGGAAATGTCGAATGAAATCGTTACTTTTTTCTAAAACTCGGTAAGCTTTCTAAAAAAAAATTTAAAAAAATGCTGTCAAAATGCAATTATTTTGCAAAATGAATAAAAATATTAATTTGGAAGTTATTTTCATTCATTTCCGAGTTTTATGCATTTGTTTAATACATTTTAAATAAAAATTGTTGGATTTTGTTATTACGTTTTTCAATTTTCTTTTTGATCTCACTAATAATACATTTTTGTCTTAATACATTTTTTACTAAATACATTTTTACCTAGTACATTTTTTACTAAAATTATGTTTATGCCCGACCTTGTCAAACAACGCCCAGTCAAATCTCTAAGAACTTCAGAACTATTTGTGCTATTGAAAACTATTATAATTACTATTTTAACTCTTGAAAACTCGAAGGTATTAATTTAGCCGCTGATACTAAAATTCGTTTACAAATTTTAATTATTCCGTTAGGCAGAAATGTTCGGAAAATGATTTTCTCGCATGACTTCAGCATTAGCCATTGTTACAAATAAAACTGTAGACTGTTCTGTTTCAACTTATACTGCACATTCAATTATTTTTTACTAGCTCAAAGATCACAAAGCTATCTGAAACCCCGTGTTTGCTTTGTTTATGTTTGTGCTTTTAAAACGCGTTTCTATAGAGTAAAACAATTTTAAATCAATGGTAATTTAAATAAATAAAAATAATAAACTAAAAATTAAAATCAATAGATAAAATTTCTTTTTCGTGCAAATCCATAAAAAGTTTGATATTAAAATTATATTTGATTTTAAAATTATATTATACGATTATATTATAAAATTATATTATAATATTCTTCCGAATTTAAAAATAAATTAATGTCCATAACTTTCAAAATTAAAAATAATTAAATAAATAACAACAATTTTGCAAAAACATTAAAGAACATAAGAATATTATTCAATAAAATTTTAGGTTACTTTGAATTTTCGATTTCCTAGAAATGTACTTTTAAATCGTTACTTTTTTTGTTTAGTACTTGTACTTTTACTTGTACTTTTTACTCGTTACTTTTTAAAATACAAGATATTTACTTTTTACTCGTTACTTTTTTTAAAAATACTTGTACTTTTACTCGTTACTTTTTAAAAGTAACGTTGCCATATATGGTCATGAGTAACTATTGCAAACTTCATCCAAGTTCCCATAAAGTTAATAGCTCTCTGTTTATTGAATTAGAGATTGATAATTCTCTCGTTCAGGTCAAAATTATGATCAGTGGATGAATGAATGGGTCAGTCTTTTAAAACAGGATGTGACGTGTGTGTATGGTTGAAGTCCTATTCTTGATCATAGATGGAGCCACTTAAAAGCAAGAAGCGCGCCCTCTGCCTTAAATTCATTTGGTTTCACCAAACAAGCTTCCTGATATTGGCAAGCGAATCACTATAATTAAAGCAAATCACTACACAACTTTGTGTGTTGTATTTTTGTCATAACCTTATAAGCTAAACACTTAACTAGAAGTAGAACCAGTATTCTTCTAGTTGAGTGCTTATGTATTCTAGGACAGTATCTTAAGACTGTATTTACGACCTGCTTTTCTACTGAGTTAGGATTTTTTAACTTTTCCTCTACGTTGTAAGACATATATAAATTGTAAGATTCAAAATAAAATTATCTTATTAAAATAAAAAATATGTATGAAGATAAATGATTCGAATGATAAATAAACTGCAAAGTTTCAAAATATAATGGTAGTGTTTCATAATCACCATTGATTAAAATTTTCTGACACTGTTGAAAATGTAGTAAAAAAATGAACTACACACATTATCATTAGCATAAAAATGTTTAGGTCAGATATAAAGCATTAACAACTGACGAAACATTATTGAGGTTTATCAGAGCAAAGAAAGAATAAAAACCACTGAATACTAGTCACATTTGTCTAATGGAATTGCATTGTATTCACCTTTAAACAAACTTATTTTTTAACCTTCAGACGCAGATGGCCGGTGTCCGTTCTAAATGTTTTTTTCTGACTCACTAATTACAAGCAAACATATATTTTTAAACTTTCTAATGATAAAAAATAGTGGAAAAGTTATTAAATTTTTTTTTAGATTATAAGAATTATATTTGCACTATAATATAAAATTCTAAGATGTAGTTCGAAAATTTTTTGTTTCATTCATATACAAATATTTATCAATAATTGATTTTGTAAATGAAGGAGATTTCAATGATGAATAATTATTTCTTTTCCTTTGTGTAGAAGTTTTTATCTTTAACACAGGTGTTTATGCTGTATTTCATAACAATAAATTACTAAAATGCTAAGTATAGTATTTTTCATTTATTTTGATCTAAATTAATACAAAATAATGAAAAAAATATGCTTAAAATTTTTTCGCTAAACAGTTAACTTCTTTTTTTATTTCCATTGATTGCAATTCTGACGAACTGCATTCAATGAATGCAATGAATCAATAAATATAATTTAACAATGAGTTGAATAATGCATTTTTTTCTCATTTATATACTTTAGGATAACAAGTTAGGATTTTCAATATGCATAGCGTTTTTTATAAAGATTTTAAAGATTTATCAATATGCTCATATTGATCAATATACAAAGCGTTTTTATAAGATTAGTCTTTCATATAATTGAAGAAACTTTACTGGTGCCATGTTAGTTTTTTTTAAAAATTTTTCGCGTTATTTTTTATTACTATGACTAAAAGTTCACTTTTTATGAAATTTCGGAACTTTTCATTTTTAATGCTTATTGGAAACATTTTTTACCATAAGAAATTTTTAAAAAATCTATGGAAATCAAAAAAAGGAAATGAAAAGAACGATATTTTTGTACTAACATAAGTTAAAGAGAAGCAAAGCAGTACGTAAAAATATTATAAGACAAACAGCTGTTTTAGAGCGATAAGCAAACATTACCTTCAGTGGGAGAGAAACATTTAGAATAAATTTCAAAGTAGCCGGTGTAGTTGCATATAGCGAAATTCATTCTTTAAAAAAATGTTTCATAAGTGAAAAATGCATGAAAATAATATGCCAGTTTGGTGGTATCATATTTGATAAATAACATAAGTTCAGGTAAATACTACGAGCACCAATCTTAGTTTGAAAATCGACGCAAAAGGAAACTAACATTTCACAAAAATAAATCATTCAATTTTCAAACAGGAAAAGCATGATTGATAAATTTAGTTTATCTTTTTAAAAGAAACCTACAGAGATTATGATTGATCATTAATTTTGACCACCTGAGATTTAGGATAAGAATTTAAGGGGTCAAGTCACTCTTACTTCTTTCAAAGAGTTTGAAGGTGTTTGACATTTATTTTTTTGGACATCAAAAGAAGTCATGGTATAAGGAACTTGTAGGAAACTATTTCTTATTTACGAAATAACTAAATTTTAGTCGCTATACTGGAATAAACAGGGTGACGTTCTAATGGACATTAAAATAACATTGCATAAACTATGAATCAGCAAACAGGACTTAATGCACGGCACCAGTCTCTATAACAGAAAAGTCGCAGTAATGGAGGTCGTTATAAAGAGTGGATAACGTAATTCGGAATTAGACCTACATACGAAATTCCTCATGAAAATAAACGTATCTCATCAGTTTAGCGCATAAAATTATCAATAATGTTTAGTGACATGCTTACTAATATTTCACGATTCGAAATTAATTTCTGTTCTCAAAAAATGTAAACACAAATTCACAATTTTACAGAGGTAATATATATACGTCAAACAAACATAAATTAATTATTAATGAAATTAATTATATTATATATAGTAACTTTATTAATAAAGTAACTAATAATAAAATTATTAATAAAGTTCAAATATTTAGAGACATGTTTACTAATAATTGAAGATTCGTAATTCATTTCCATTCTCAAGAAATTTAAACACAAATTCGCAATTTTGCAAAGATAATATACACGTTCAACAAACTTAAATTTTATAATTTCAAATTGGTAAAATTGTTTGTAAACTGTTTGTTGCAACGTTTGATTTTTAATTTCAGCAATATTCGACAGGCAATTTCAGAAAAATTAAAATACGAACTCAAAAAGTATGTCCCCATTTTAAAAAATGTTTTCCCTAAACTTTGTTTTTTAAAAAAAAAAAAAAAAACGGAGTAAATAGGCTAGCTAATTTTCTAAACTTTTAAAGGTTACATTTTTACTTACATTTTTGTACACAAGCTGTGAATAAATTTAGTCAAAGCTTTGTTTTGTGCCCTCATTTTGTCATATTTTCATACAGAAAAATGGACTAAATTGAGTAACATTTTTAACTAAATTGTTCTTTGAAATATTAAGTTTTTAATTACATTTTTATATAAAAATGTAACCAAAATTAGTCTCATTTTTATTTAAAAACATGACTCCTGTTTCTAGTAGAAAAATAAATAAAAAGCTTATAATACTGGTGTGTTGAATTTTATAAATATTTTCTTATTTGCAACATTATTAAGTTGAAAAGGCGAGCAATAACAGAAATGTTTTATTTTTTGAGAAATGTATACCTCATTCGATGTTTTATTTGACCAGTATCGATGACCCAAATGATTGCATCAGTATCTTCAGATCCACTTATTAATAACTGTCCGGATGAAGTTACATGAAGACAGTTGATATCAGCTTTATGACCTGAAACATCATTTATTACTCATTAATTTAGGTTCAAGAAAAAGAACACAATATTCATGACAATATTCTCGTAGCTCAAATATAAAAAAAAATAGCTCACAAAATTCAGAAAAAAAATAACAGAGATATTACTTTTATTGCAAATATTTTTAGTTGCTACGTCGAGGGACTGAATTTATTTTCGTTTCCGTTATTATTTTGTTCAAAAAAGCTTATGATCTTCTAAGAAAATTAGATACAAGCATGCAAAACATGAATAAAAAATATTACTAAAATCGAATATTATATATTTTTAAAACGCTAATAATATATTCACCCGAAAGCTCGAAGTAAATTGCAAATTTTCGTACTTTTGATGAAAATATCAAACATTTTGCAATTAAATTTTTTAAATAAAAATAAAATTAAAAATGTATATAATTGTATCAGTTAAATGAATTTTATTTGAACATAATATTTATCCATCTCAAGTAACAAAAAAGCGATAGCATTAGAAAACTGTAGTTTTTTTTAAAATTTTCTAATAGAATGAGAGTGTCAATTCTATTTAAACACATTTATTGCCTGGTAAGTCATTATAAGTATATATACTGAAGAAATCGATTCAAATTATAACGTGAAATTTCTGAAATTAGTTACATAATCATAGAGAATATGATTTTTTCAATAGAATTTTACTTTTTTGTGCATTTCGCCATATTACAAAAACTTTTAACGTGAATTGAAAAAACTTTGCACTTAATTATAAAATTCGCTCATCCAAAGAAAAATTCATGCAAAAAGTAAATGCTATAATATTTATTATTTATATTTTTTTTTATTTAATAATGGTCTTAATAATAGTAAAGCAAAATTTGAATTGTAAAATATGCATTTTTTTACGTTACTTAAAAGTACGTAATTTTAGGTGCCAAAATATAAAATTTGAGCAAACTCGGTTGAATAGTTCCTGAGAAATCGAATTAAAAAAAAACGTCGTATATTTAAAATTCGATTTTTTAGGAACTATTTAACCGATTTTGTTTAAATTTTGCATTTTTTCATGTACAATTATATACTTTAAATTGACGTAAGAAATTGTATACTTTTCAGTTAAAATTTTTTTCGACTGAAAAATAGTAAGTATTTACTAAAATTTCATTTTTTGCCAAGTATTAACTTTAGATAAGCAAATTTTATAATTGTGTGCAAAATTTTTTCAATTTGCTTTAAAAGTCCTCGTGATGTGGCGAAATATGCAAAAAGTAAAATTAGCATTAAGGGGTTCAAACTTTGGATCATTCTTCTGACCAAACTATAAGAACCATATTTCGGCCATCGATAGCGGCCATCTCCTATATTTTGGTGGTCAGAAATCTGAATCCGTCGAAAAAAAGGCATGCTTATTCAGAGAAACTAAGTATAGCTGATATAATAACTTAAAATATCGTCTTCACTAATTAATTAGCATATTGGAGGTCATCCTCTTCGTGTTATTAAGATTGAGATCTAGAATTTGAAAATCCACGATCATTATATCAAAAGTTATTCAGGGTGATCTGTTTCTTTCTCTCTTTTTTGAGCACTGTACATACTATATGCTCCTTTTATAAATTTAAAGATTTTTCTGAACATGTGTATGACCTTTTAAAAATAACTCATTACTCTTAGAAATATTATTTCCATTTCAAACTTGAGATTAAAATGTCTTGAATAAAAAAAATAAAGTGAAACATTCCCAAAACAACCTGTATTGTGCAAAAGAATCAGGAAGATTAAGATTCTTTAATTTTATGACCAGTTGCATGAGGATACTCTATACATACTATATGCTCCTGTTATAATGTAATGCGCCTCCACCGCCTTTACTTCACATACAAGCTGATTCTAATAGGTTTGAGCTTTGATGAACATGAAGTGGCCATCAGGGTTAAAGCGCAGTGTTTCACTACTAAACTTAATCCCTGATATTATAATGTTGTTAATTGATTGTTAATAAATAATAGTAAATAATTCAAAACATTTTAATTTCTCATTATCTTAATTTGATTAATTACAGAAAAATATCTTCTAGTTAAACTCAAGGGCTCATTATTTAAGTCAAGTAGCTGGTATAATGTAAGCTATTGATTTCAAAAGCAGCAAGAATTTAACAGAAAAAAAATAAGCTTCTGAGGAATTCGATATCTTGCACAAAGAAAAATCTAAAGAATTCTGAGACATTGACCAGATATGTTCTCAAAAGTAATTACCAAAAATAACTAAGAATGTGAGGAAGGGGTGCACGAAGAAAGCAAATTTATTCTTTGGAGCCGATTAACGAAAAAAGGAATGATTAAAAATCCAACACTTATTAGTGAGAAGGCGTTTCGTATAAATTTGACGAGGAGTAAACCAGAGAGGGAAAAAAAAGCAAAGACCAGGAATTTATTGCGTAAGTAGGAATTAGTTAATGAAGTTGACGCATCAGGAAAAGATATTTAAGTGAGAAAAAATGATATTTAATGACCGGGATTCTATTTTCGGCTTTGTTGATAACATGATAGTTTGGTTTCGAAAGAAACAGCATGGAAGAGTAATTATCATTACATATACACGACTTTATATACTTAATATAGAATGCCTCATGCGAGTCCTTCTATTTTAAATCATAGTTTAAAATAGATTTCTCTTATCAATTTTGAAACGTAGAAAATCGTTTTTTCATTAACAGCCATAAATATTCAATATTCCAATTAAAATATCTTTTTCAGATTTTTTAAACATTTGAAGGGAGGGAATTTTAAGATTTTGTAAAAGTTCCCTATAGTCGAAATGGAGACGAGACTGGTGAATCAATAACTTTAAATTATCCCTTTTGAATGACGTTCAATTACTTAAATAAAAATCTTGCAACTAATTCCTTTTCGAAATCCCTGGACACACTTAAAAATAAAATATTGCCGATTTCTTTCAGAGTAAAACTTTTTATGCAAACTGTGGAATAAAACTCATAAAATAACAATAAGTCTAATTTTTAAATAGTCCGATTGAGAAGCGGTGGCTCAGGGGATAGAGAACTCATCTCTCAATGAGGGGAAACCGGGTTCGAATCCCAACGATAGCTGTCAATATGAATTCCGCATCCGGCTCGCACTGACCACAGTGCTGACGTAAAATGCTCTGAGTGGTAGACGGATCATGGCTTAGAGTCTCTTTTCCTTCAGGTTAACCATGAGAGGTTTTCTTGTTTTTTTCCTCCATGTGACGCAAATGCGGTTTAGTTACATCAAAAAGTCCTCCACGAAGGCAAATTTCTCCCTATGCTTGATCCAGGAGTTCTCTTGTCTTTTGGAGAGGGTTCATTATTACAAGGTTAAGGAGTTGAATATTAATAGTCATAAACACAGATCGGCTTTTCAAAGTCGGTAAGTAAATGAAGTGAAATAGCCTGATTTACTTATGAATAATAGGTATATGCTTTATACACATGAGCATAAAACATAAATCAGAATCAGTGAATGTGGAACATCCTGTATTTGATAGTTAATACATATTTAGGACATATACATAAGCAATAATATGCGTGCATTCTCAAGAGGATGGTAACATTTACCAATCATTGTCTTATAATTATTATTATCAATTTTATATCTGTGTGTCATTTTGTATTTGTAATTTAATATAAAAGCTCGATGCAACGAATAAGACACATAGCAAGAAGTACGCTATTACGACAATTTTCCAAGTAATTGGGTATAATATGAAAAAAACACAACTACTTCAATTTAGTAGGAACAACATATGACGCAATGCTAAACGAATGGAATTTAGTTGTTGTTTATTTAGTTATTGTTATTAGTAGTTGTTGTTATTTGTTTTAGTTGTTGTTGTTTATTTAGTTGTATTTAGTTTCAATAACTTTTCTTTATAATACAATAAAATCTGGCGAGAAGCTATTTAAACGATCGAACACTTCGTTTGTTTATTTGTGGCTTGAAGTTAGGCTCGCAGAAAATGCCGTTCATGGGTTAAATTTAGTAGGAACAACACAACCTGTGACGTAGGCTATATTATACCCAATTAGAAAAATTCGTCTTTTGTTGACGATATATCTACCATGACCTTTTTTTCTCTTCCTGACACTATTTAAATCAGTATTTCGAATAATCAATGACGTCAAAATCTATTATTGACGGTATTATTGCAGTTTCGAAGCTGATATTGTACTTCATTTTATCTTTTAAATCTTTTTTACTGCAATTTCAAAATTAAATATGTGTGCTGCTTATGGCAACAAGCTCGCTGTAACGGCAATTTCATCTGTTATTATGAATTGACGCTATGACGGACCTCTACTGTTTTTTTAAATAAACTTAATGGTATTTACAGGTAGTTCAAAAATTCTAACATTTATTACGTTTACAAGATTTCAAAGTTTTTACGTGATAAAACAACGTAATTCTTACCTTTGAAAATTCTAACATGATTTTTTGATGGAATGTGAAACATTTCTATTTCTTTCTGATCGAAAGAGCAGAGTACATGTTGTCCATCGGGCATGGCAACCATATGGGTTATGGTGCGGGATACAGTCATGCTCATGACCTGTGGTGGAAGAATCAAGGATAGCCACGAATTTGTAGGCACTAGTCTCGGTAGCGTTGATTTATTGCAGAACTTCAGAGCACTTGTAACTAAACTTTTTACTGCAGTTGTACCGGAAAAATCTATCAAGAAATAAATTACGATGCGATATTTTTCATAATAAGGATATGTAGCAGAAATGAACTTTGCGATAAAAAGATAAAAGGAGTCAAGTTTTTTACAATTTTTATATGAAAGATATATGAAGAAAATGGAAGGCATTAACTCTATATTGAAGACATTTACTTGATATGAAAGACATTAATTCATTATGTGAGATATCTGCTCTATATGAGGAGACATTAACTCGATATTGAAGACATTTATTCCACATTGAAGACATTCATTCTATATTGAAGACATTTATTCTATATTGAAGACATTTATTCTATATTGAAGACATTAACTCGATGTTAAAAACATTAACTGAATATTTTTATTTTTGCTTAACTGGGTCGAATTTTTCTCTTTTTCTTTTTTTCTTCTTGTTTTTTGAATTTATGAGAGCTGAAAAATTGCCTATTAAAATAAAATGAATGCAGCATAGAATTTTACAAAATCTTTTAATATCTTCTGTTCAAGTATTGTACTTCGAATTAAAAAAAACTTGAAAAAAAACGCGCCTTTTTTAAAGTTTTTAAGTTGCAAAATATTTGAAATACGCTTTAGTGCCTTAATATTGTTTGATAGCTTGAATAACTTAAACATATTTATTTCTGATCAGAAAACTTATTTTTTCCGTTCTCGTAACGTTTTAGGAAGAAGAAAAAACAGAAGTTTATAAATCTTTTGTAATTTTCTCTTCGTTTATTATGCTATATCGGAACAACCGAAACTCACCACAGTAAAGATGATTGCACATCGAGTTTCACCTACACTTTACCCAACCAACCATATAAGTTTTTGGTCAGGTATATACACAAAGACTCTCAACACTGTATAGGACTCTTTGGTTTACTTAATTGTTAAGGTTTCATTTCGATTACACATCTAAATTCTGATCTTTTGGAGAAATGAGGCGAAACTCAAGACTCGGATATAGCTTCTCTAGTTTCAGGTTAACATATTTTATTTGAATCTTCTGCCGCAAGTTTGACACACATTTCCACATCTTGGGAATGATAGAGAAACTCTAATTCGCGGAGTATCTGCATTAATTCCAATAATTTCAAAATAAACCGAAGCTTGGAAGTTTATGTTCGGTAGTATGGAATTTAGTCTTTTCTCAACAAATACCTGTCAGCCAACAATATCTGCTGTACATTACAAATGCAATCACCTTAGGGTATTGACCAGACGCGATCTGTTCCAGAAGGTTAACTGTTGTCAATCGTAGGTTGAATCAGTAGGGTATTAAAAACAAGACAGTCTCAAAGAAGAAGACTGTTGGAAATTTCGTACAACCAAAGATAAATTTTCTAGCTCTGGATTACTTTGAAGCATTAATTGGAATTCTTGTGGGGTATATCCTTCTTCGATGCTGCTGTACTTAAGTGAATATGATATTAAATCACATGTTAATTCGGACACTGCACGCATTACAGTTTATTTATCATTCCCAGGATGTGGAAAGGTGTGTCAAACTTGTGACAAGAGCTTCGAATAAAATGCTAGAGATCTATACCTAATCTATCCGAGCAACACTAAGATGTCGATAAGTCATTTTTCCAAAAAAATTTGACTGTAGTTAATTTTAAGTATGATGCACCAACGAAAGATATAAATATATTTTAAAATTTTTTATTCCGTTTTTGATTTTATTACCATAGGCAACTTTTTCGCTCTAACGAGCAAAAAAAAATAAATATTTTTTCGAACCATTCTAATACATATTCTATTATATTTCTACTGAAATAAATTTAAAAACTACACATAAGTTTTTGAAAACTGTTCTGTACGCAATTTTGAAACTGTTCGCAAATTTTTTTTAAAGAAAATTTTGATTCATCACATTTTAAAAGTGCATTTTGGTTAGTTTAAATGATTTTATTTTATTAGCATACAACTGAGCGACAACCAAGCGGATACAAAATTTGTATTTTAACTACAAAAATGTAGTAAATTGATTCATTATCTAGATTACATTAAAAGATTTTCGAGCTAACATACTTGTGACTAATTAAATCAATTTTAAAAGATTGCTGCTCATTAATTATATTTAAAAGATAATTAAAAATAAGTAATCCTAATATAGACAGATGTTTTCAAATTGCATTTGAAAAAGATGAACTATTTTTATTTTAGAAATATTGCAGCTAACATCAATGCAATTTTTCTTTTTGCAAAATGTTTGAATAAATGAAAGCACTAACCGAATATTCATAATAGTGCAACAATTATGTTTGCAGAAATTATACTAAAATTTGTAGTTAAATTCTTTTAATTGCGTTTCTGAGTTACCGTTCAAAAATAAGTATTCGTAAAATCATTTCTATGGAACGCTAATGAGAAAGTATTTTAATGATGATTAAAAAGTCTTCACCTTTTACTCGACGTTTTAAATTCTTCAGGTGGTGCTTTTAAATTGATGAACGACAAATTAATGGGCAAGCGTCCAGAAAAAAAGAGAATACATGCTTTAACTTCCCTTTCCCGATTTAGAATCATTAAATTTAATTATTTTGGAATTCATTAAAACCAATACCGTTTATGTAAGGGAGATTTCTGAAAGTGTGTGAATGGTACTAAACTGAGGATATAAACTAGGTTTATAAATATTTAGCAGCTGCTTATATTTGAGGATGCAAACTAGTTGGGCTTTAGAATAAAACTTTGAAATATGCTTTATCTGCCGAATCTAATGCAACTTGATATTTTATATTAAAATATTTCCCTTTTTATTTAGTAGCTAGAATAGTTTTTTTTTATTCCTTTTTTTTTTACTCTTGATTAGAGAAAGCTGCAGTGTATGGAATATGGATTATTACTAATGTGGTTATTAATAATAATCACTGACTTGTATGTCACATTGCTTGGTATAGACTTATTCGATCTTTCCAACACCAGGGTTTCTTAATAAGTATTAATCGCATTTTATTAAAACAATATTCATCGATTATTTATAATTATCAAACAAGACCGTTAAATTGAATTTTGAGTTTCATAAAAATGCATTTATGGAATAAAGAAAAGCGATTTTTCTTTAACTGTCTATTTAGTACTCATTTTTAGGGAAACAAATGCAAGTTAAAGACATTCATTTTAAAATGGAACAAACAAATGACCTTTTTTTACTGATCACCTGAAATGAAATACTTTACCATTACCAACTTCAAAAGGCTGTAAACCTATAAATCTAACGACTCGAAACTACTTCTGTTTTTCCAAAGGAAGAACAAATAAGTTTTTCAGACTACATTTTTGGTCGCATTTTTTATTGCTAGTATTTATCTGCTCTTACAGGACTAAAGAACTACCTAATTCTCTACGTTAAGGATAAAAATTCAAATTCTATCTATAAAAAATATGTTGATTAAAAAAAAAGTGTCTTTGTGTTTAATTTTATAGTTTAATTAATAGTTTTCTTTTTAGAATTTGAAATTTCATGACTTATTCTAGGTTTACTCACTTTTTATCTCTATATTTTAAATTACTTACAGTGGTGAAAGAATTTGCAATGGAAAGTTTCTCCCATGGTGCAGCTAACTCGTAACTAATAACGCCATACCTTTTTTGTTACATATTTGACATGTTAAAGATTTATTCGACGAAACACACTAACCATTGCATTTCTACGCGCTATTGGTATTAAGAATTATATACAGCTGTTTTATAGCATTTTTGTCAGATATTATTCTTTTTTTACTGTATTACTTGTGAACTACTTTATAATATTATCTATTTTATCGTATTTTGTACTTTCGAACATGATTATATATTATTCTTATTTAATCTGCTTCAAAACCATTTGTTTGACATGTGTTCAGTTTTGGTCTTAGAGAAAGTTAACTGTACAAACAATTAAATTTGTGAATAATAATTATTTATAGTGATACCTTTTTTTTCTTGGATAAAGCTGATTGATACGCGTTTTGAAAGAAATTTAATACACAAAAAATAGAGGATTTGTCATTATACAGTTTATTGTGTACACAATGCTGATAGCAAACAAAAATAAAATTTTATTTTATTTTTTAAATAAAAGAATGTCTGCAAGAGGCTTTTCAAAAGTTCGATAGTCGAGATCATCTTACAGTTTATTAAAGTACACAACGCTGAGAGCGAAAATATATAAATATATAAATATATATATATTATTTAGTCTTTTTTCTTCGAAGAAAAATTACCTGCAAAAGGTTTAAGCCAATTCAAAAGTTCGGTGGCAAGTTGAGAAGAATCTTGGCTCAAAATGTCCACAGCTTGCTTTGTGACTGCAGACAATAACTCAACCTCCCAGTCTATAATCTAAAATAGAAAAGAGAGGAAAAAAAAGAAAGAAAGAATGAGCGAACTATAATATGAGCTATAAAATAGATTTTAAAGAACATGAAGAATTGTTAAGTACGCTATAAAAATCCGTTCATAGTCGATTTCAATCGTTTCGAAGAGGAAAATAAAAGTGTGAGGAAGATCTACGCAATTAGAACTTCACTCTCGTTTAACATTTTTGTGTTTAATTAAGTGGTGAACTGATATGGAATTGTTTACTGAATGTAAAACTAAGAACACAATTTTTTTGTTTATTTTAAAATTAAAAAAAGTCATTGAAGATATAAATTAATTAAAATGCCAGCTAATAAAATTTGAAAGCTAATTCCAAGCTTGTTTTAAACAAATTCTGATTTTATTAATTAAAATGATTGCATTCATGGATGAACTTCTTGGTATTTAATAATGGCCAAATGCAAAATACCATTGTGTCCTTGCGTTAAATTAGAGATTAATTACACAGAAAATGTATTAAAATTATTTTTAATCATTCTAAAAGGGGTTTGTATTCTGAAAGATTAATTACTGAACTGGCAGACGATATTCTCATCATGCTAAAGAATTTTTTAGGCACTCAACTGCTTCTAAGTATTTGAAATATCTTATTTCGAAGTAAGTTAGGAATTAAAACTTTAAAAATAAGCAAATGCCAGTTAACACAACTTTTAAAAGCCAATTAATTTTACGTAACGCTATTTATTTTTAAAATACTTATCAGCACTTTAAACTTGCTCTGCTTTGATTAAAATATTAATTTTAAACTTGTTCAACAATTTAAAGAGTTGAAATTATATTCCTCATTTTTGTATTGAAATTATTTTGTTAACTATCGTATTCGCTTGTTTTTATAAAGTAATGTTTAATTATTGACTGACTCGTTAATTAATTACAGAAAATTTGTTTACGTTAATTGTTAAATAAAGAAATTCTGATTGCTGATTTCTTGCATTTTTAAAATTGTTCTAAGCATTAATGGTCACGGTCATAAAAGCCAGGTCTACCGATTTATAGTGTGGTATCAAAGACTAAAATGCTTTGTTTTAACCCTTTATAAGGCCAATTTTTTCTAGTAATGTTACAATTAAAATATTTTTTCGTGATTAAGATTGATTTATAAAAGAAATTCTTTAACTTGTCATCTGAAGTTTTTCTAATTTGTAAGACCATTTTTTTGGTGAAAAGGTGTGTTGGGATTTTAATAAATTGATTCGTAAGGAGTTGGCGGTAAACTTGAAATTCCGTGCTTAAAAGAAAACGATTTTTTAAATGCTGACGAATTTATAAATTTATAAATGCCCCCCCCCGTTAACTTTTCTTCTCTAATCAGTGTTAAGCCTTTCTGAAAAACCTTTATTTTTTTAATATATTAATTTTCAGGTAGGAAATTAGCTGTCTTTGCTAAATGCTTAATTGTAATAGAACATTTCTCAAAAGAACTAAAAGTAAAGTTATATTTTAATACTCGAATCTGCTGATGTACAATTTACACAAACAGTTGTGAGTATGTTGGTTGGAAGAAAAAAAATGAAACAAAGGTTATCTAGAAGATTTTTTTTATTTTTTTTATCGTGTCCATGGACAATTAAATGGCCTCGTGTGCCTTCAAAACAGCATCCGCAAGCTCCAATACATCATTACTGTAAAGGATCTCACGAAGTTCTGAAGCCAGTGGCACCATACCCAGTTGTAAAACGTATGGGGAAAGGGCTGGGTACTCGAGAATGTGATTCGGGGTAAGTTGGACATCGCTGCAGTTCTTGCAGGGAATGTAAGTTCTTATTTCGTCTGGAGGAATTTTCATCCCTTTAAAGTAGTTTGTTCTTAGTCTAGTAATTGTTGATGTCAAGATTCGGGAACAATCAAAGTCAGTAATGAGGGATTTCCTGAAGGAATGGTGTAGAAGTCTGTGTCTTGCAACTGCATTTGCGTCTGCAAGCGTGATGGTGGTGCTATGTTGGTCGGCACCTCTGCCTTCTTTAATCTAGAAGATTAATGACTAGAAGCAGAAAGGGATATATGAAGGATTTTACGCCAACGGTGGTTACCGATTCTTCTTACAATCTCCTTGGTAACCCTAATCTGGAGAATTTTGAAACCGCTTGTCATTACTCTCTTCAGATTTTAGGAACTCTATTCATGACCATATTTAGAATTATTACTTTATCATTTCCACACGACGTTAAGTTCGGAAATGGGAGAGATGAAATTAATTTCCATTTGTGAGGGCTCATTTCAAGTTCAGTTGGCTACTGATATTCCAATACGCTCAATATTTAGGGAAGAGTTTTCCCATTTGATCTCTCAATAGTTACCTATTAATCTATTGTATTGTTATTATAAAATATTAACATTTGCTTAAAATGATACAAAGGTTTGGGTTCTTTAAATGAGGAAAAGCAGTAGATAAACAAATGGCTTTCTGTATAAAATAGAGTTTCGTTGATAAATAAAACGAAACATCCGGAAAAATTGGATTCATAAATGATTTAATAATATCAATTCATAAACTATGTCTTAGTACCCTGTTTTAATATGCGCTTAACATGAAAAGTGTTCAAGAACTAAAGTAAAATCCAGTTTTTGTAAAAAACTTTTTTGAACCAATTTCAAGGCTCCCGCGATCCTAGTTCAAATTCAGAATCGTCAAAGGTTGAGAGAAAGGGAAAGCCTGGAAGGAGATTGGTTAGCTCACTTTAAGATTATAAGAGTCAAGATATAACGATGATAGATAGATATAAGACAGATAGAGAGTAATAGATAGATAGAGAGTAAAGATATAAGATATAAAAATAAGGGTCTAACTTGAGCATAGTATGTATAAATTAAGTTTTGTCATTTCCTTTTGGTTTCATTTAGTTCAACATTTAAAATCGTCTGTCACTCTTTAAATATTACAATTAATCGCTATAATTTTGTTTCATAATAGTCATATTTTATTTTATTACTCGCGTTGAACAGCTGATTGATATCGAATTTATTCAACATCGTAGCTTTGCTATTCTATACCCAATCTAGAAAGCAAGAGAACTTCTGGTTCAAGCATTAAGGCAAACTTTCATTCATGGAAGACTTTTTAAGTTAAATTAATCAGCACTTGTTTTTTTGTTGTATGCCTGTTCAGGCAGTGGGGGTGCGATTGTTCCCGGATTGTTCCTGGCCCATCTACGGCCAGGAATTCGACTTCTGCCACGCTATTCACACAATCACAACCCGTTTATACGGCGGGTCACATTCACACACAAAGGAGAAAGGACATGGAGCACACACACAGAGAAAGAAATATCAATGCCTTGCCCGGGATTCGAACCCAGGACCTTTCTGATGTAAGGACAGTTCCCTGCCCCCTACACAGGCTGGTCGGCATTCGCACTTGTACAACATGGATTAGGAAAACCACAGACACTTTCCAACGGTAAATCTGAAAGGAAAGGGATTTTAATTCATGGTTCGTCTACTCTTGGAGATGTTTTTCATCAACGCTGTGGTCGGTGCGAGACAGAAGTAGTATTTTTTCCCTTCGAGGGGTTACGAACCTGGATCACCTTGTTGGGAGATGAGAATTTTATCAATTCAGCCATTCCAACTCAGATTAGAAAAATTCAGAAGTGTAACAAATGTGCTTTATTAATATACGAATGATGATCAACAGTGATGTATATTAGAGGTATACCAGCAAGTTCGGTAAAAAGTATTATTATTGTCCATATGAATGCTTATAAAATATATATCTAAGTATATATTAACATGTTATAAACATATATATGCAATAAACAATTTTTTTATAATACTTTGAATCCATATTTAAAGTCGTAAAGTCAAAAGGGTTTTAAAAGAATAAATAAAAACAATCAGAACAAAAAACAATCAGAGTAATTGTATTCTGCTTTGCTTGAAAAAGCTAAAAAACTTAGAAACTTAACGCGAAATGTCAAGAAAATATTAATATCCTAAATTCAGTGAATTTCCAAGAGAAAGACATTTTTCAATTGACAATTGCTGAAATATTTTCTGAGTGCAAATAAGTTATTTAATAAATTAGCCATTTTTTTCCCTCGGCATTGTGGAAAACTAATTATGAGTCGAATTAGAAAAAAGGACTCAATTATCATTGATAACTTAATGAACATTCATTCCAAAATATTATTCCGATTTGAATGAAATTTATTTTAAAAAATGGTATGATTGTCGAATGGCGATTTGAAAATGTAATTCCTATGAGCTGCTGGTGCATTTCTAGAATCTCAAATTAGAAAGTGATTGAGGTCTCTATGCGTAAATAAATATTCGATGTACTTATTAATAAGTGTTTTGTCTCAAATAATGTAAGTGCAGATGAGGGGAAATGAAATCTTTTTATTTCTTAAGGTATACAGCGGCCCTCAGCGGTAGTAAAATTAACTACTCGTTGGACGATGAGTTTACGATCGTTTTCTTTTGGAATATCGTTTTCTTTTGTTATTTTTAATTGAATTTATGGAGTAATGTTGTAATCGTTTGGTTAAATGTTTTATTTTAATTTCTCAAATTACTCGAACGTTCCTGGCTGCGTGTTTAAGAAGGCAACACTGCATTTTCTTTTATACCTAAAATAAATTATAATTTGATTCAACTTATCTTAATTTTTGTGTTCTTAAACTTATTTTGTAGTTTAATATAACTCTTATTTATACGCTTGATATGTAACATTAACTAATTGTAGAATCGATACGTGTATTATTTCTTGTAGTTATTGCAGAAATGTTATTCGATAAATTATCGATATAGATCTTTATTTTCTCCATTTATTGCAGAACTTATCTAGAAATTGAATTAAATAAATATGAATAAGTAGGAGTAAATAGAAGTATGATAAAGACGCTAAATGTAGAATGCTTACTCTGTAAAATTAAATTATCAATTAGACGCTTTCTACTAAATTTGCTAGGCGGATCTACAATAAAAAAAATGGAAAACGAGTTGGTGTCACAGTGGATTGTTCTTAATTTATTTTATTAATCTTATATTGATGGGAAAGATGGTATTAATCTATATTAATTAGAAGGATGGTATTAATCTTTATTAATAGCAAAGATACTATTAATCTATAATGAAAGGAATGATGGTATTAATCTATATTGATAGGAAGGTCGATATTAATATTTATTGAGAGGAAAGATGGTATTAATCGAAACCAATAGGAAAAAGGGTATTAATCTACATTGATAGGAAAGATGATTTTATTCTATATTGATAGAAAAGATGGCATTAATCTATAGGGATAGAAAAGATGGTATTAATCTATATTGATAGAAAAGATGATTTTAATCTATATTGATAGAAAAGATGGTATTAATCTATATTGATAAAAATATGGTATTAATCTATATTGATAGAAAAGATGGTATTAATCTATATTGATCGAAAAGATGATATTAATCTATAGTGATAGAAGAGATGGTATTAATCTATATAGATAGAAGAGATGGTATTAATCTATATTGATAGAAAATATGATTTTAATCCATATAGATAGAAAAGATGATTTTAATCTATATTGATAGAAAAGATGGTATTAATCTATATTGATAGAAAAGATGGTATTAATCTATATGGATAGAAAAGATGGTATTAATCTATGGTGATAGAAAAGATGATTTTAATCTATATTGATAGAAAAGATGATTTAAATCTAGATTGATAGAAAAGATTGTATGGTAGATAAAGATGGTAGTGATAGAAATGGAATACCCAATTTTTTTCCTCTTAGTTTTTTCCCCTCCTTTTTTATCTATTTATGCGTGTAAATCGCTGCAACTTGTTTAATAATTTAACTCATGCATCATTGATTTTTTCCCTTTATATAATGTAATCGAAGATTTATAACTAAATTGATTTCATTGAAGTTTCAGTTTTGCTCTTTTATGAATTATCATATAATTTAATTCATTATTTTATGCGCTTCTTAGCATTGTTCGATTTTTTGATCCAAAATTCCGAATAAAAGTTGTAATTATGCTTATTACTCTTAAACGGATGAATAAAATGTTATTCCTTTTAATGAGATTCTCTTATGAAACAATAAATTTTATGAGGCATATTATTATTATTATTATTAGTTTAATTTTAGTAGTCTGAAAAAATGTATTGATGCTCTTCATCACGATTATCATCGAGTTTATTTCAAATTTGCGTGTTTAGCTCACATCGTAATGCAAATTTCTATTTTTAAAAATTGCACTCAAACGCAATTTTTTAGAGAAGGAGATAAGATCTCCGTGCAGTATTTGTCACGCAAAATCTGAATTAGTTTTTCGTGTTGGCAAAGACTAACATTATCTAAGTTAAATACATTTATAAATACTCTTTTGATACAGAATATAGTAATTTATATTTGACTTGTATGGAAAATATATTTTAAAATACAATATAAAATAATGGCGTATCTTCTTACTTAAATGAAAGTATGAGATAGAAGTGGGAAATTTTATCTTACCTGACTAGTAGTTTTAAATAAAGAAAATGGCATTAATTTAATAAAAAAATAAATTCCGCCAAAGCTAATATTAGTTTATGACCTAAGAAACGATAGATGAATGTATTTATAATTGAAAAAAAAAATCGTTGGTATGATTTCTGACTACTAATTGCTGTCACTATTTAAAGAAAGGGAATTCATAAATGTAATGAATCTCAACATTTCAGAAAATATTTCAACTGATGTAGTATCATTTACAAAATTAAATACTTGGTCAGTAAAATTTTTACTTCGAAATTAATCATTTTTTGAAGACCTGACGGATACCTATCATACGATACGTATTTTTTTTATTTAAGTGCAAACATCAAACATTGAGCCGCGATGGTCCAGGGGATAGAACGTTCGTCTCCCAACTAGATGATCCAGGTTCAAACTCCAGGGGTGGCAGATTAATACCAATTCTGCTCCCGACTCGCACCAACCACAATGCTGACGTAAAATATCCTCAATGGGGTAGACATATCATGGGTTTAAAGGCCCTTGCCATCTGGCTATTCATGAGAGGATTTCGTAGTTTTCCTCTTAATGCAGCGCAAATGCGTGTTAGCTCCCTCAAAAAGACCTCCCCTCTAATTTGTTTTAATGCTTGAATCTGGAGTTCTACTAAGTTGGGTTCAAAATTTCAAGGCTTTGGAGTTGAACATCGAAAGTCGAATAACTAACTGCCTAGTGAAAGTCGAATAAACTAAGAATTAAATCGGTTGGTCAAAGCTGGTTATAAAATATAAAGTAGGTAACATTGAAGGAAAATTTTAAGTTCAGAAAAAAAAGATAATTTAAATTTAGATTTGTTTCTATAAGAGCTTTGTTTTCGGATGTTTTCGCATGGTTTTAGGCAAACTACATGAGAATTACTGCTCAAAACTCTTATCGTAAAAGTGCCAAACATATAATACTGAAAATGACCAAATCACCAAGCACTTTTCGCATTTTAGAAAGTTAACATCTATATTTTTACTGATCCATAATTTTTAAAATTTGTTCCATATCAATTGAAATGTCATAAACCATTTTTATTTTTAAAAAAAAAACTAACTCAGTGGCGCGACAGCCCATTAAGAGGGCCAAGACCGACTGTGCCCATCTCAGTTTTCTTGACCTTGGGCTCTGGGGTGCAAGAGCATATGTTCCGGTCAGGTGGTCAGCCGAACGCGGAACCCCCAGTGTTAGTTCCCAAGCATGCTTGGTACTCATTTTATCGACCCACTGAAGGGATGAAAGGCTGAGTCGGCCTTGCCCGGCCCAAGGATCGAACCAAGGACCTGTGGCACGGCAGGGCGAAGCGCTAGCACTCAGCCACCGGGCGTCATTTTTATTTTTAAGATAATATAAATAATTTTAAAGGTTTATAGGCGATATATTGGTTAGGCTAATATGACAGTTATAAAATTTTGTATTTGAAGTTTATAATAGTTCACTGAAAAAAAAAAGAAAACAGGTATTTCTTTTCTTTTCGTCGCTTTTTTTAAGGAACCTTTTTTTAAAGAGGAGATTAAAGACTAATAAGCCGCAGTATATTTACCTGTTAGAATGCTTTGCAAATTTATTAATTTACACGACGCATTTCGATAAAAGATCTTTAAAATTTTACAATTAGTTTAAGGTTAAATAGATTAATATTAAATATTTATAAGGTAACACTTACAATTGAAACACTCTCTATTTAAAATACCCATTCTACTTAAGATGAAAATTATATACTTAAGAGAATGTTACACAAGTAGTACTCACGTGACATTTCACGAGCTCCAGAATACTCCTGACATAGCTGACAGATGCACTATTCAGTGCACTCTGAAGAAAATCGAAATTGCATATGGCATCTTTTTTTAACTTTTCTTTGTCCCCTAAATAAAAAAAACACACAATCCTTAAATTTAAATTGATAGCTTTCAGTCTATAATCAATATTCTAGTTACTATTGATGGATTGGATAAGAAATTTAATGCATTTCATGTAAATAACAAAAACAGCATTGTTTACTCTATTTTAGCTATTGGTGTTGCAAACTATGTCTGATTCTAAAAGAGAAAGGGGTAAAAGGAAGAAAGAACGCCAATCCCGGTAGAACTCCCTGAAGGAATTCCATTTTATAGTTGTAATAGATTTATTCTGCATTTTTTTTAATAGTTTAAGGGGTTTTCATACGAGATTATTAGTACGCTTATCAGTATGATTATTAGTATATAAAACACGAATGCGTATTTATTGTCATCAAACCAATTAAATTTCGTTTTTTGGGTTGGCGAATCAGAACCAATAACTGAAATTTTAAAACTGAAGTGGGCAGCCTTAGGCTTAAGCAAACAAGTTTACAAATTTCTGACCCCTTCCTTTGGTTTTTGTTGGAGCAAAAGATGTAAACTTTGTATATTTTTTGAATTTTATTATTTTTAAAAAAAAATTCTTTCCCTTAATAAAAAAGCTAATTTAAAATACAAGAGTGTCCAATGATTGCTCAAATGACGAGGGAATCCGAAAAAAACTGCAAGAGCAGTTCCGGGGTTCGTGAGCACAGCGAGCAGGGGGGTGCAGTCCATCTAAAATTTTAATAAAAGTCTTAAAAATGATGAGAGTTAAAAAGGCTTTCTAAGACCATTATTAAAATAAAAGTGCATATAGTAATTACACGAAAAATGAAACATCTTTGCAGGAGAAAACAAATTTATCAATGTTTAGTCTCTTGTAAATTGCAGTTAGTACTATTTTCATTTTATTATTAATTTTCAAATTTCAGGTACATTTTTTTAAAAAAAAATTCAATATTTCAGCAGAAATATAAAGTGCAGAAATAAGTTTCTGTACTATAATAAAGAAATTGGTATGAAGCTCTAAAATTATTTATATAGCATGAAATCGACCTTTAAATCTCACCTCATTGTTTAAAACTACTGAGACCTCTAAAATATATAAGAGTTTCACTCTGTAGTTTCTTATTAACAATGTACTTGTTTCGTATGCGCGACTTTAATTAAAGCCACTTTGTGCTTTCTTGAGCATAAATAGGTGCATTATTATGCTTATGAACGCAATCTTAGAATAAACTAGAAGTTTCATATTTATTCTACTTAAAATAACTCATTCGTAGTTAAGCTAGTATTTCCAATTATCCATCTACCTGCAAAATATATTTGTTATTCTAAACCTGTTTTACGTCAGCGGAAGAAAGTATAAATAGCTCTCTGTGTAGGGTTTGGGATTATTAGAATGCTTTAATGCATAAAATATATTGTATTATTTAGGTATATAGATAAACTTCCTCTCTATTGACTCTATTGATAACACATATATTTCTCTATTGATAACAGTACAGATTGGCATTAAGTGATCTAAATACCTTTAAATTTCCATTTCAAATTAGTAAATAGAGAAAGTTTGAGGAAAAATGCTTTCAATCGCATTTTTCTCAGAAAAGGAATATGAAATCGTAAACAAGTTGAAGGCCACAAATTAGTTCAGAATCGAAGAAAATTAAAGAGAAACGCAACTGAAATTCGACTGATCGCAATTAAGGAAAGTAGATGTTTAGTAAGTACATCAAAATATGTTTCCTTACAGTTTAAACATGAATGAGTTTTAATGCGTTTTATTTCCACCCGCAATCAAACATAATTTAGAGTTTTGTACTGATGAATCGAAACAAAATTTTCAAGTAATTTTCAATAATATTTGGTAATTATAAATTACTGAGAATCATGCACGCAATTAAAAGTGATTTTCTTAGAATTGAAGACAATGATTTTAAGTCACGAGTTGTTTAATATGAATTTATAAATGTGGCTTCTTTCTTTATTTCCTTCAAGTTCGTCATATTTAGTTCATTATCTAAACAAAAGCGAAAACTTAGAACTGCAAAGCCCGTAAGAAGCAAGTCTGGCATTTTCAGCAAATTAATTTATAGTTATCAAAAAGTTGGAATTCTTAATTAAAGATTAACAAGTTTTTTTAACTCAGAAAGTCAAACAATCAAGTTTATAAAAAGGAAAAATTTCGTTAAAAACTTGCGGACAGAGAATATTCAGCACATAAATTCCTATTTACATTTATATACTCTCTGCCATACCGAAACAGCAACATGTAGTTTTAACACAATTGATTAGGAAATACAACATATTATAAAAAGCTTGTGAGTGAATGAAAATTCCGTAATTGTCAGGAATCGGAGCCTATGAACATGCTTACCATGCAAGTGCACTGACCATAATTTGGTGGAAACGGTTTTAACGGTCTTCCAGAAAGCACTCGGATGATACACGAGTGAGGAAGAAATCTCCTCAAATATTTAAGAGCTCGCATTTCGTTATAAAACTTTTATTATCACGTAGAAATAATTTTGAGAAAAATGAATGCATTATTTCTAAGATACTAAACAATATTTGAAAAGTATATTCTGCTCGAGGTGTATTGGTTAAGAGGCATACCACTTATCTTTGTATTAAAAATGTATGGTACCATTGATAAACAAAATAAAAGGTGTCATAAAGCTAAATTCCAAGAAATTTTTTTTTTTAAAAATGTAAGAAAGCTAAAAATGTAGTTACTGGTGTGACGGAAATTATGTACACACTTTCCAGTCACTAAGTGGCTGTAATTGTAATGCAAGCAATGATAAACAGATGCTTTTAAAAAGAAACGAGTATAAGTATTTTAAGCATGAGAAACAAATAAAAAAATTTGATTTTGAAAAGTAGCGATTAAAAAGTAAAATTACACGTGCGAAACAAAAAATGAGCGATTTTAAAGAACATTTCACGGAAATCGAAAATTCAAAGCAATCGTAAAATTCATTAAAAAATTTATTTACAATGTATTAAATTTTAATTTAGTGATATAAACCTTTAAAATGCAGGAAAAAGATAAGAAATTATATTGAAATCGTGCACGCTGAAAGAAACCTAACGGGAAATCAAAATTCAATGTTTGCATATAAAACGAAATTTTAAATTATGCTCATTTTAAAACATTCAAATCTTTATAAATTTTGTTTTTACTTTCAGAATCTCTCGAAACAAATTGACTCGTTGAGCAAATTTCAGAGCATTATGATTTTTGGTTAAAAAATTAAGTACAAAAAATCCTTCGACATTTTCATAACAAATACTTGTTTTTTTTTACGAAAAAAAAATAAAGCAAAATGATAAAAATTACTAAATTTAAAATGTACTGAAGTACAAGTAAAAGTACGTACATGTTACTTTTACTTTCGTTACAAGTAACGAAAGTAAAAGTATTGCCGTGTATGTAACAGTGTTCCTTCACGCTTTTTGGCAATTTAAGATTTAGAAAGTTGTGAAACTCGTGTATAATTTGGAAAAGATGTCTAAAAAGTACTCAGAATGTTATTTTCATTTCCTGATTACATTCGAATGTGAAAATTATTACAGCGTAAAATAGTCGAATTATCTCAAGTATGCGCAGTTAATCGAATTAACGATTTTTAACTGGAGCACGCATGTTAAGGAGATAAAATAATCTTCTTTTCTGCAATGAAAATGTTTTAAATAAAAAGCTTTTGAAAAAAAGGCACTGTTAAATAAGAATATAACTTACCACTTTGCAAAAGATGAAACCAAAGTTCATCAATTTCTCTTAAAATATCACACCAGTCATCTTTTCGCTTCGTAACATCAAAATTTTCCTCCTGAAAAATTATTCATGAGTATTTCAACTTATTTTACTTTTTGTTTCAGTTCCATTAATTTATTATTTAATATTACAGCCACAAAAATTTTAAATTTCGAAGGGGTTTTATACTAAATATTTGTAACATTGGAAGAGTGAATAAAAGAGACGTAATTTTAAACTTTCACGCACTATTCAAACAGTAAAAATGCTCTATAGCATTTCCAAAAAGTATGGATATGGTAAAAAAAATATCGATAAATCTGCATCAGACCGAAAATCTAAAAACTGAATATTTTCGAGAGATATATTGAATTAAATCAAAATCGATCCCTCTTCAAACTTTAATTTGAAGGACTTGTAGAAAGTGGAATCAAGTTTAGTGTCTAAGTTTTTTTTAAAAAAAATTATATACTTTTTTTTCATTTGACATGGTTTTCTGGAGTCATGTCCATTTTAAAATATTTTCACCTCTTCTTTATTTTACAATTCTAGTGCCTATTGTAAACTAATATACAAAGAACTACAAGTCAAAATGAGGTGTTTTTTTCTGGATAAACCAAATTTGCAATAAATCAGGGTTTCCATTTTAAAATTTAAAGTTGCTTCTTCGCTCTATCCAAAAGGTTGTATTTTGTTAGCAAGTTTAGAATTATTGGATGTATATTTTGACTTTTTTTCATTCGTGGTTTTGTTTATAAACCTTCCAAAACCTCAGTATAATTTAAAGCAACCTGAAGTACAATACCTTGTCTTTTTCCATCAGGAATCCTAGCTGGAAGGCGTTGGCAAGTTCGGTGTAGCAGGCTTGTAGATCACGTGAAGTCTTTAAGTATTTATTCATGATGTACTTAGAAATGATATTATGACTCCAATGCAGGTATGGTCGGCGATCGACGTAATATTCTTTCAAGAGAGGCTCTGTGTATAGAGAAATAGATAAACCAGATAAAATATTTAGTGCAAAAAAGGTGAAGTTATACAGATTGTATATAATACAGTGTTTATTAACTTAAAGCGGAGGTTTCTTAGAGGTAGAACACATCATAAGGATTAAAGAATGCATAGCAATCTTTAATTGGAAATGTCGTACGTTACTTGGGTTTCTCCTTAATATGATTTACCTGTTTATCCGCTTTTGAACTAAATTTTATGCTGCCTAATAATTATAGTAGAAATTTGCATTCAAATAAGCTTATAAATAGCTATTTTGTCGTAATTTAATGATCTGGCGACAAACTTGAAAAACACGCCAAGTTGGGCTCCAAATCACCAAATTAAGATGAAACAGTTCTTTCTGAGCCTAATTAAATCCAATAAATAAAAACAATTTAAATGAATAAATAAAAAAAAAATATTGTGATCGCTTTATTACTATCATTGGTTACCCATTGGTAAAAATAATTTTTTTCTGGATGGACTCCGATAAACGCTACAACATTTCGAATCATGGGTTGCAAAAACTTTCCCAATTGATATTTATCTCCGGATTGGTATTTAAAGACGTAAAACCTACTTCTTCTTCAGTATTCATATTTATATTAAAATCCTTTCAGTATTCATATTTATGTAAACCGACAAGACAGTAATTATAAATTAATAATGAAAAGAATATAAAAATACTTTAAAAAAGCAGCACAGCAAGATCAAATAAAAAAATTTAAAAAAAAACAGATTGATGATATTTTTTTGAAAATGCAAAAGCATATTTTACTGCTGAATAAGTTTAAAAAGAGGTTTTTCAGTCCCGTGTTAAAATATATAATTAGTGATGCCTAAGTCGTAATATAGTAAAAAAATCGCTTTAATAACACAAAAATATATTGTTTTATCTAAATGCTGAATAAAAAAAAACTCTAAAAATTATCCACCAGCAGCGGTTACCATAGCAACGCATGTAATGACGACGGATGCGCACTGTTTACTATTACTCTTTAACACAGTTGAAAAGTGTGATGACGTCCAAATAAGATGAGCACGCCATCAATCCCAAACCAACACTCATTTTGCGAATGGGTAAAATATTAGTTCCAAAGCATGGACAGACAGTTCATATCATATGGAAACATCCCCACAGACGGACGATGTTTCCGGTTTTGAATTTCTATGTGATTCTCAATTCTTTTGATGTGCACTACCTTCTCTACAAGTTTGTAACTGATGCACTGATTCACCTTGAATGAAAATTGCATATTTGTATATAAATAATATTATACATACAGCGCGTAGCAACCAGCAATTTAAATTAGTCGCAATATTTAGGTTTGAGAGTGTTATTAAACCTATATATTGCGACTAATATGACCAAGCAATATTGCCAAGCCAAACTTATTGATCAACCTAATTACAACCAAGCTTATTATCAAACCTAAATATTGCGACTAATATTGCCAAGCTTAGCGATATTGCGACTAAATACTACCAAGACGATTTTCTCCTCAAAAAAGAGGGTTGGAAAGTGCAAGGTTATTCTCAAGAAGGAATATGTAAGATGAAACTATCTGGACGATGTTTTTCCAAACCAAATAGATTGGCCTCTGATCTGTCATGGTAAGTTTATTTTCTTGTTTTATTTATTTATTTTTTTCCTTAGGGAACAGCTAAAACGTGTTGATTAAGAGTCTTCTATTGCACCCCTAGAGAATATTTCTGAAAAAGTTGGCGTTGCATCTTTCGGCATCGTCGATGAAACCCTTTACGGTCGTAGTCACCGAGAGTCAAGGCCTCACAGTAAGTTTTTGATGTCATCCTCGAAAGTTCTAGGATATGCGGTAATCAGTTTAAATTCAGAGAAAACAATTATAAATAGTTCAAATATTTTTTAAGTGAAGTAAAATATTTTTGCTCTAGCTAATTAGCTAGGGCTTAAAAGTGGTGAAATTTTCTTTTCTTTTTAATTATAGTAAATCAATGTTATTTATCACGTTGAATCTGTTTTTATTCTAGTTGATGTTTTAATGAAGCAACATCATTTGCATTTCGTAATAAAAATTTATTTAATAAGAAAAGTATTTTTTTTTTCAATTTTAAATCACGATTCATCATAACTACATTTAATATCAAATGAATGAACTTCATTCAAATGTACTATTTACAATTTTCTAATATGTCAGGAAATATTGGATTTATGCATACATTAGAGAATAAGAAATGATAGATTTGAATAAAACAACTACGAGACTAAGAAAGGAAATCATATAATGTAAGAAAATAGACAAATGAAAAAATTATAATTTTTTTTGACGTATTCATAAAATTTCTATTTTAAAATAGGCTTTAAAAAGTTCTTTCAGAACAGTACGATAAACATTTAATTTCCAAGTAAAAATAATGTAAACACAAGCGCTACATTTATTTATAAGTAAATGGCGCATATAATATAATAACGGGGCATAATGATTTAGCAACGTATTTTTATCCTTAAGATTTTGAATTTCAAAAAATATTGATAGAATATTCAGAGAGCCCAATTTTTCTGCAAAATTACATTTAAAAAAAATGAGTGTACATGACATCAAAACTTGTTTGATTTCAGGTTAAAATATGAAGGTGTTTTTTTTATAAACGTCTTTCCTTTCATCTCTTTCCTACAGCAATCAAACAGGTTTTGGTATTTCATTCAACTGCCTCTCTCAACTGCGATTTGTCAGATTTCGATAGTTTTAGCTTTTAGTTGGAAAAATATCAATTTGCGACTCCTAAATTCTGTACACTTTTTAATGTCTACCTTTGATAAGATTTATTTATTTTTATCATGGGAGTAATTTAGGAAATACACTGTACATAAAAAAATGAGAAAAATTTTATTACAAATAAAATTTAGGAACTCATTCAAATCTAAAATATGCAAATTTGATGTTAACGCCTCAATGGTTAAAGAATTCAGAGTACCCTCAGTACAATTATTTATTTATTTTGTTAATATAAGTAAAACAAACACAGTTAGTTGCATTACGCGCACACTTAAATAACATTACTGATTTTTAATTTTTCAAAGAAACAAAATTCTTTTTTTAAGCTTATAGATCACGGCTAAAAATCTAGGTATTCATTTGATTATAGATCAATTAGAACATTTTTTGCAGTTAATTATGAGCAAAATAGAAAAATATTGAAAAACAAATATCGAATGCACAAATGCTGAAAAATGTTACTTTTTAAAACGATTATTTATAGTAGAATTTAATGAAGTACATAAGGCTAATTACAAAAAAAATTATTTTGAAGTTAAAAAAAATCTCTAGAACCCAACTTTAAGAGAAAAAAAATCTCTAGCGATTCAAATACCACGTTAATATCAAAAAAGCGTACATTTAAAAAAGTTTTGGTTTTCCTGAAAAAACTACTGCTTTTTTGACAAACAAGCCTCAAAATTTAATAAATAATCCAGATAGTGGAAAGAATTTTCTTCAGTTTGTTTGAAATTATTTGAAACTTTAATGTAATAAATAAATTGGATTTTTGATATTTTAGTTCAGATTTGTTTATGTGACATCTTAAAATTAAATTACAAAATCTAATAATTGGATTTAATACAGTAAAAAAAATATTTATGACTTCTTCTAAAAATACAGAAAGACAATACCTCTGTATAAGAAAAAACCTCTCCTAAAAGCTGTGGAAAATAGTTTTGTTAAGCCCTGTATTTGAACGTAACTTAAAAGCATCGATGATTATTTCTTATTCGAAATAATTTTTGTTAACGAAAAATGATCTTTTATTCTTTCTGTTTTTGTATTTTCTGCAACTGACTTAGCTTTTAACACAGTTTCATTGACATAAATACAGAAGGGTTTGTTTACATACATTATTAAGATTTTGCAGGTAGCCAAACTTGCAATTAGAAACTTTCTTTCAGAATCAGTGAATTCGTTAAAAGTATCCTTAATTTTTTATATTTGATCAGATTTTCTTTTTTCAAATTCACTACTCTGTAAAAATTCTAGATCAAATTACAGTATGAAGTATCAGCACTTTCGGTGCATCATCAGTAAAAACTATTCAAATCCATCCATCCTGTAATTTTACTGTAATATTTATTTAGTTAGAGTGAATCAGTGATTTACGGTAATTATTACTGGAAAAATTACGATGTATCACAGTTGTTTGTTTTGTAACATGATCCTGAAAAATGGATTTTATGGTAAAAAGTACCGACATCCTGTTTGTTGGATCCACAATTTTTACAATGTAGGAGAAATTAGATTATGATTCTTTATTTTATTTCTAAGAACCTGTTTTAAATTTAATGTAGTTTTCTTAAATTTCCTCTTCTTTTCATCGCCTTTGAGAAATAATTTCAGAAGTATTATGTTAGTAGATTGTAAATTTTATCTCTTGTTGTTGACGTATGCCTGTTTAGGCAGAGGGGGTGCGATTGTTCTTGCTTTCCAGTGGCGCCATCTATGGCCAGGAATTCGACTTCTCTGTCGCTCCATACGTCGCACCCGTTTATAAGGCGGACACATTCATGCATCCATTCATCCATAGATCGTAATTTTTGACCTGAATCAGAGAACGATTGATCTTCAATCCAGTACCCCCAGAGATATTGATTTGTTATGGGAACATGGAGGACTTTTGCGACTAGACAGATTTAACGTGCTGCATCAGTCACTTTACTACACGGGGAGTCTTTGGCCGGCGGGATTCGAACCCACGAACTCTCGGACATGGGCCCAGCACCCTACTGACCAGGCTATCCCGGCCCATTTAATCTCTTGGTACACAGAAATAGCTGTGATTTCTGTGAGGTTAGCGCACGTTAATAATCAACTACAATAAACCATTTTTAAAACGAACTCTGTATCAAACAGAATTTCTGCCTAAAAGCAAAAGTTTCGAATGTCTTAACAGCATAATAAATGATATTCTATAATAGTAAATTATGTTGTAAATCATATAACTTGTATAAGTCAGAATTCCTAATGGGGAAACTGAAATTTAAAGATTACAGCTGAAATTATGAAAATGTGTTTTAAACGGAATAATTTCTTTATCTGTGTATTGTATTTTTATTTATTAGTTTTACTTAAATGTTTATTTATTTATTTGTATTTGTTGCATTAGTGATTAAATTTAAGCTGCTTAGTTTAATACTACAGTGAGTCCCTTATTTCAGTCACTCAATGTTCTTAATTTACCAATAATTCAAAGATCCTTAATTCAGTACTGAATAATGGAAGTATTAGGAATAAAGTAACCAAGATGATTTAAGAGGTACTAACTGGCTTAAAACGTCTCAAAACTAAAAATTTCACGTCTTTAATTTTTGAATGTAACTGAAACTACATGAAACAATTAAACATTTCATATTTATTTTCATTAAGTAGCCTAAAATTACATAATCTGAAACATTTTTTTTCTGTCTTCGCTAAAATACGCCGAGGACGCAATCATAAAATCTGTGGAATCAATAGTCCTGTGATCGGTTACTGATCAGTACTATAGGTGCAGGGTTGTGGAGAAAATTACTTCCTCTCTTCAGATCTATGTCTAAATTAAGATAGTGACCTCACAAATGGGTGATGCTGCCATCTATCCGTGGGGTTCTAAGCTAAGAAGTTCTTTCACCTCTGCGGTTCTCTCCAGTCCAACGAAAAAAGGACTTTTTTGGCTTATTTTGCAAAAGCCATTGTCTGTTTCACTAGGTTTGTCGATGTGTCATTAGAAATGAAATTTTTTTTTAAAGTTTTTAAAATAATAAATTTTCAAAATTATAGATTTTTTAATTCTCATGCTCTCCCTTTTATTACAAATTTTATTTCTTTTCTTCAATATAGTATTTTTACTTATTTAAAATGACGGGATAGAGAAATAGAAAACTATAAGATAATTTCAAAAACGTATTTTTAAAATATAATTTTGAAATAGAAATCATCATTAAATATTTATATATAAATTATTTTTTAACGCAATTAACTTTTTCTTCATCACGCCATATTTATTTTAATAACATTATATATTCCGCTAAATTGATAAACTAGTATAAACTGAGTTAATAAACTAAAAGTTTCAAACTAGAAAAAAATTTATTTCCAGAATCAGTAATTGGAAGAAAAAAAATTCTCCTTGCTGAAGTTTTCTGTAAAAATAAGCCATTAAAAAGATAACAAGCAAAAGATAAAGTCAGGCTTTATTAGAAATAACGTGTATTTGAAGAGAATTAGCAGTGACATTTAAAATTGTCCATAAAGTGCTTTAATCAATCAATAATCGAAATATGCTTGGAATAAAAATAAAATATTAAAAATAACGGAAGGCAGCTTCTTTTAAACATGATGTGAAAATGAATTGACGACAAATAATTTCATTCCACTACATCTTAAACGTACAAACCGAACTTGCCTTAATGTTATAATTTTTCTTTAACTGCAAACATTATTGACTTAAGATAATTATAATTTTCTAATCTTATTAAAAGGGGATCACAATTTTAAATAAGATTTTCGCTCCAGTGATTTAAAGTCGTTCAATTTTATTTAAATTATAACAATCGATACTAGTTTAGAATAAGAATAAATCTTTCACAAAATATTAAATTATTAATGAATTTAACTTCATATATAGACAAAGTACTCTAGGGTGTTTTAAATTTTTACTTATTTTTTATGCATTTATTCTCGAAACATGAAATGAAATAAACAGCTTAATGAGGAAATAGCCGTGTGAGATTATAATCGGGATCTTAGAATGCCTGGGGAAATTTTTAACGTTTTAAAACGTTAAAACGTTACGTTTTAACGTTTAACGTTTTAAGCGTTACGTTTAAAAATTTATATATTGTTTTGAATTTTGTTTGATGTAGGGATGCAGAGAAATATGAAAAATTTTAACAAATCATATGGGAATTAATATATATAGCTGAAGTTTTACTCTCTAGAGAAAACGAAACCAAAAGTTATTTCGTGTTCTAATTCACATGAAAACAAATTTTTTCACTGATTGACAAATAGTAATTTGCATTATTTTTTAAGCATTAAAAATATCATGATTTTTACGTCGTAAGCTCCTTAACTTAAAATAAAAGAAAAAAGTTAAAATAACTTAATAATTTCTGAAGTGACAAAACTCATTTCTCAAGAGCATTAGAAGGAAGAAAAAATAAAACCAAGGGAAAAGAGAATGAAATTTTACTAGAATATTATTTTCTGCATACAGCATTCTTGGTTTTTTGCTGATGATTGAATCTAATTTATTTATTAACATCGAAAACATCTATTATTAAAATAGTTTTTTATTTAAAAGAATTACACTATTTAAACTTTTTTATTATTTAAGGTTTAAGAAAAATACGAATAAATGCTCTAATGTTTTCAACAAATTTGAATAATTAAGAGAGAAAAAGGTATTTAGAATAAAAAAAATAGTAGAATATAGCTAATCGATATTTTTTTTAAAAGAAAATAGAAAATAATCAATTCTAGATTTTTTAGAATAAACAGAAAAAGACATGCAATAAATCTAAATACATCTATTATGAAGAACACTGTGAAACATTACTGATCATATTTCAGTATGAAGTACTGGTACTTTGGGTACATCATCCTTGAAATCCATTATAGTAAAATATTTTACCGTAATTTCAGTAACATTTATTTACTTAGAGTGATTCAGTCATTTCACGGTAATTATTGCTGTAAAATTTACGGTATATCAGATTTTTTTGTTCCATTACATGTTCCGGTAAAATGGACTTCAGAGTGGAAGTTGCGGCAAGCTGAGTGTCGATACTTTTTAGTGTAGTTTGATCAGACATTTTTTGAAGTGTAGTTCCAAGATATCTAAATATTCAAGATATCTATAGTGGAAGTTACGGCACGCTGAAGGTCGATACTTTTTACCGTAGTTTGATCAGAAATTTTTTGAAGTGTAGTTCCAAGATATCTAGAGTGGAAGTTGCGGCACGCTGAATGTCGATACTTTTTACCGTAGTTTGATCAGACATTTTTTGAAGTGTAGTTCCAAGATATCTAAATACTATGGGTTTGTGTTTTTGTGTGAAATCAAAAAGAAATGATGGCGATTTCTTATTAAATTGAATTATCGATTAAGGGAAATTCTTATTTCTCCTAAAAATAATAAAATTGGACAAAAAATTAAATTTTGGAAAAAAAATGAAATAGATATTATTTTATTTCAATTATTGGATTTAATTTTTATTCAAAGATCTAAAACTTCAATAATAAAGTAGTTTCCAGAAATTAAAAACTTTTTTTATTATTTGAGGTCAAAGAAAAATGATAATGTATCTCTTTTAATGCCTTCATTGAATTTGAGTAGCTTAAAAGAAAATTTATTTCCTTTTAAGAATCTTTTATTTGGTTGTTCCTTTTAAACGAATTCATCAAACGGAAACTAATGTGACGAGAAGTAATGGAGTGTAATTGAATAATTCCGTCTTGAAATTGCGATTTCTTTTCGAATGTAAAATAACGACAGTAATTCGCCTATAAAGCAGGTTCAAATCGATAAAGAATTTAAATTTCCTCTTCTGTTTTCATTCCTATTCCAAAAGAATTTATTCATGATACTCGTATATAATCTTTTTTTTTGAAACCGAAATCCAATTTAGATTTTGTTTTCCATTCAGATTTGGAAAATATTTTGAAAAAAAAAAATCTTTTATTTCTGCTTAAGTATTTTTGTCCGGATTAGTTTTGTATTTTTCACTAGCTTTTAATGCTCAATAGCACGTTTTCATTTAATTTGAATTAATTAGATAAGAGCATGAATACCTTTTCGTACGAACTGGAAATTTAAACAAATTAATGTTAGTAAAAATTATTCATTAAAATTAAAAACACTTTTATTTGGAATAAAATGTCTTTCTTAAAGGTTATAAAGATTTTAATCCCTTCTTACATTTAAAGCGGAAAGATCTTGTTTACCTTTTTAGCATTCAAGATGGTAAATATTTATTTTGTATTTCCTAATTAAGTATCGGTTTTAATTTCCTTCTATTCTTTCATAATTATATCAATTTTGATATTCTTAAGTACATTAGTCTTGCTAAATTTAAACAATACAATGACATACTGGTAGTACCTACTCATTTCCTTGATTGTATTAAACCATGTAGCGGGTCTATTAAGATGCCGTTGGTTGCCATCCTCAGAAGCGTCAATTGTGGATGCCAAGAGTTCTATCATTTCATTTTCTCGAAGACCAAACGTAGTGCACGCCAAAAAGGTTACTACTTTTCGCATTGTTCGAAAACCATACCTGTTTTAAAAGAGACCAATTTTATTAAGAAAAATAGATTATAACAAATTCAATAACATTCTTCAAAATATAAAAGAAGTGTTTTTCAGAAAAACTTCTGTGGAGGCTAAATTTCTTAAAATTCAAAGTATCAACGGCTCTGGAGCATCTATATTATTAAAGTTGAAAAATTTAAAAAAATGAAAATCATGGTATATTAGCGAGACAAAGGATAACGTTTCCACCGAAGGTTAATATTAATTTCGAAAATCCCTAAAATTGTATTAGATGATTGCAAAAGTTCAGGCAATACGTTGATGTCTTTGAGAAGTAATATTATAAGTCCAGCGAGATTACGGATTGTGAGAGAGTGTAATTATGTCCAACAAATAAGTGAGAAGAAGAACTGAGTCATACTTACTGATGTACCTTGAATTTCATTTTGTAAAGGTTTTTTCTTTGTTAGTCTTATTAGTTTCTCAGGTATTACAAATTCTTGCTTTTCTTGAAATAATCTCTATCCGTTTGTGCTGGCGCATGCATTCTTAAAGTGTGCAAAAAGGTAGCATTTGATTTTTTCTACTGATCCATTAATATTTTACTGGAATACGCGAAAAGAATTTGCAGGATGTGTTCAAAGCTGTTATAGTCCAAATGTTTTGTATTTGGGGTAAATGGACAGATCTTCCCATTCAATGGACATTTTGCACTATCTGGTTTATGTTCTAACTTGCCTTTCATAACTCTCAAAGTACATTGGCTGCCTCGACATATGGGTATTTCTAGAAATGAGCTAGCTGTCGAATTAGCGAGGGCCGGCTCCAGTGCGATTTTCTGCTGTCCCGAACCAATCTCTCCCACATGCATCTGAACCTATATTTTCAAGCTATATGGAAAGATTCCTTGTGAGCAACGGCGCAACTCGGACGGTCAGAGACAAGTTAAGTCGTGACTGCCCCCAGTGTGAGTCAAAAAGAGCTTCTTAAGCTTAACAGGAATAGCTTGAGCAAGATCATTAGTCTTCTCACTGATCACTGCACCCTCAGGAGACACATCTACATTATGGGTATTGCACCTCCGTCGTGGTTGTCATCTTAAGGAGGAGACTTCCCTACACATTCTTTGTGAGTGTGAAGTCTTTTCGGCTCTAAGATTTAAGACTCTGGGACAACATTGTGTTGTGGCCTGGGAACTGCAGCATATTTCTGTCAGGTGCTTGCTGAACTTTATTTCAGCTATAAATCTTCTCCTCTTGTCATGACCTAGGGTTTGGGTGCAAAAGATCTTGGAGCCTTGATCCTTGGAGCTGCCTAATCTCTAAGTCTAAGCCTTTCCTTTGAGGGAGGACCTCTTTTTCCGTTTGCACGTGTGCCAATAGGGCTTTCCCATAGTTCTCGGTAGTTCATTCTTTCTATACAAAGACGTCTTGAAGTGTTCTCCTCATCCAATTCGTATCTCAGTTCAACATTTTTATCATGACATGTGGTGATATTAGAATTCTTTTTTTGAACTGTCCGTTTTTTATAGCATGCTTTTTATATAACTGCTTGCTTTTTCGGTTTTTTGAGATTTTTGATAATTTTATATTGTTCTTCTTAGCATTTTTTTAAACATTCGTTTTTCATGTTTTCTCAAATATTTATATTCTTCCTCAGTGATTAACTCTAATTTCGCAACCAACTTTGTAAGTTCTGGGATTGTCTTCCTAGTTTGCTTTCTTAACGATTTTCTTTAAATTTTCTCTTGTGTGGGCTTTACTATTCACTTTATGTTCAAGAGTTTCTTGTTAAATTTATTTTTGTAGTTCGAAGCCTAGAATGTAAAGTTTTATTTTTCTTGTATTAGTTAAAAGAAATCATTGAATAAAATTTCTTCATCCATTTATTGTATGCATTTTGAATACCATCGACGCTGTAGTTACGCTCTATCAGTGCGATACATATAGCTAAACATTTAATACCAAATTATGAACCTAACTTTTCATATTATGCCTATATATGTCTCCAAAATAAGAGATCTGCCTAAATATGCCTCCGAAATAAGAAATCGACCTAAATATGCCTCCGAAATAAGAAATCTACCTAAATATGCCTCCGAAGTAAGAAATCTACCTAAATATGCCACCGAAATACGAAATCTACCTAAATATGCCTCCGAAGTAAGAAATCTACCTAAATATGCTTCCGAAATAAGAAATCTACCTGAATATACCTCCAAAATAAGAAATCTATCAAAATATGTTTTCCGAAATAGAATGGGCTAAAAATATTAAAGACTGTTAATAGGTATTAGCAAAAATAAACTGATAATTTTCGATAATACCTTAAACTTCTTATATAACAAATGAAAATTGATATTATAATTATTTGAGAAATAAAATTTCTTTTGATTTACTCTCTGAAGGTCATTCATTAATCTATTATTTCGAAGGTTAATAGATCATAACTTTGACTTAAAGTTTTCCTTGATGATGATGATGCATGGGCTAGTTAGTGTTTCAACAGTTTGAAATAGGATTATGCATGCTTTCAAAGTTTTAACACAAAAAAAGTGAATAGACACATTGTTTCAAAGAAGCTTTAAGAACAACTCAAGAGTTATTTATGTTTTAACAAAGTTTTTCTTAATTACTAAAGACTCTTAATCATCGTCTAAGTTTATTTTTATTTTTTATCGAAACTTTTCCGAAGTTTCTGTTGTTCTTTTTTGCTGACAGTTCTCAATATAACATCAATTCCCATCAAATGTAAAATAGCTTATTCTTTAAAGTCTTCATTTTAAAATAATTTCATGCAATTTTTCTGAAATATGCTCAAGTAATCTTTTGATATTTTCAAACATTTGCATTATATATTATATATAAATTAAGATTTAAAAACAAATGGTCATATAGTTAACAATTTACTTAGAATTGTATTCTGGTCATTTAAGAACTGCTTATAATTTTATCTTATTTCAATATGTTAAATTGATATGCTTTTTAAAAAATATTTTTTCAAAGGGAAAAAAGCTCTTTAATAAAGAAAGGAAGTATCTGATGTTTTCGTATACTTTTATGACTTAGGTCTGAGAAGAAACTTGTGGAGGTTTAGTATAACCGATTATAAATTGAATGATTTGCGTTTACAGATTTTTTTTTCTACTTACATCTGAAAAGGTATATTTGTACAGGAAATACAGCAAACTTTTAACGTTTTCAGACACTGAATTTCGGAGGAAAAAATTTCCGAAGTAAAAAATATTAATACTATAACAATCTTTTTTAAATTTTTTTTTAGTTTGGCAAAATATACAGAAAAAGGGTGACCAGAGACTTTTTGTATTTAGACATGAGAAAAAATTTGTTAACGTTTAGTATGAAAGCTTAAACAGAAGATTATTCGAGTTTATTTTTGGGGAAAAATATCTCATTTACTTCCTGGCATTTTAAATTACTAATATTTGTTTTCGAATTCAATTCCTAATATGAAATATACTTCCCTGAAGTCTATGTGTCATATAGTTACTGCTAAAACCAAACATAAGGTATCTGACCCTATTCTTTTCTTAAAAAAGACAATTGTTGCAATTCACAATACGAGGCAGTAAAGAGCCCACATGAATGCAATAAATCAGTCAAAGGTTACTCAATCAGAGGTTATCAAATGTTGCAGTTTTGCTTTATTAAACTTTCCAGGTTCACACGAAAACTAGTCATTCTCGCTGCTTCATTATATTTACCATAAAAACACTTGTGGCCATGTCTGTGATTAAGAAAAATGCATACAAAAATATTTATCATATTTTAAGAATGTATTTCATATTTTAAATTCAAATTGGGATCATTCGTTTGAAATTCAATCATAGAATATCCAACATTAATTTAAATTGCGTTGCTTAGCTGAAAAGATGTGATTTAAGATACCATGTCACTAAAATCGAACTCTCTATTTCGAATTTATTCATTAAGATTTAAATTTAATCAACATTTTTTAATAATCTAATTTTTAAAAAAAATTTAGTTATGATTAAATTTTAATCATCATTTTTAATAATCTAATTTCTTTAAATTATAATCATTATGATTGAATTTTAATCATAATTTTAAATAATCTAACTTCTTTGAATTTTAAATGTTATCGATGAATTTATCATCTCTTTTAATAATCTAATTTCTTTTAATTTTTATTTTCAAGATTAAGTTTTAATCATTGTTAATAATTAAATTTCGTTGAATTTAAAAATTATATTTTTATTAAGTTTAAATAGATAATGTAATTCCATTTTTTCTGTTTCTGTATTTATTGAATTTTCATATTATTTTAGTTATAGTTTACAGCCTGAAATACTTCAACCAACTAGCCCTTATTGGCTGTGGTGTTATCATGGATGGTGTTGAAAAAAATTGCTTCTATATAGTATTTAATTTCGCAGTTGAGGCGTATAATATTTTAACAAAAGTGCGTAAAAGATGTTTAAAGTTTCATAAATTATTTTTCATTAATTGTTTATAATTATAAATGGTCTAAAATTATAACACTTAGAGCTTACGTATTTAATATATTTTGTTACTATCATGGTACTATTCCATACTAAGACACCTTTTCTACATTAGACAGATAAGTCAATTGTTTTTATTTTTTTGAAGCATCACTGAGGTGCTTTTGAGGGTTGCAAATTTAGTTGATCCCAGTGAGTGACAAATGCATAAAATAACTAGGAGCATCACCATAATTATATTTTCAAACTTGATTTTAAATATAGTGTTTCGTATCAGAAACTTTTCCCCTTTAAATAATTCTTCAGAAAAAATAATGTAAGTTTTGAAAAGAAAAAAGAAGTCATGTTTTTACCTGTTTTTCACATTTGAAAAAATATAATCCACAACTTCTTCCAAACTGCCTGGAATGGAGGTGTCTAAAATATCCATCCAAGAATGCCATTTCTCGGCAATTCTTGACAATAGTTTAATATATAATGAATTGGGACTAGCTGTGGACATTTTATCTCTCATGGCTTGAAACTGTGCGGTGGTCAGTGTGTGTTTATGGTCTCTTAGATTGGATTGTAACATGCTTATTGCAGCAGCTGGTGTCAAAGGAGGTATGTGGACGAAACTATCATTGTAAGAAGATCGAGATCTTAGAAAACGTAAGACATCTTCGGCATCCTCACTGATTGAGCATATGACGTGAACATTAGATGGAAGGACCCAAGGAAGCCACCCTAAAATGGCAGACTGACTTCCAGTTGGTGATCGAAGCTCATGTAGGTCATCCAGAACTATCACTAGATCAGTAGGTGAAACTTCAACCATTTTCAAAAGGTCCTGGTAAAATAATTACATTTGCTATAGTAAAAATCATCATCTATTTCACTAGAAAGAAAAATTATAGTGTGAAAGAGCTGGTTTCATTCTCGATTTTTTTAATACAAAATATATGTGTCTTTCTGTTTGAAATAAGAGAAAAAAAATGTTTTTTTTTCTTTTTTTCAGTAAAAAAATTTAAAATTTCACATTTTACTCATTTTTGTAAGAACTAGTAGGCTCCGCCCTCTACACGCTGCTGCTCACCAAACCTCAAAAGTCGTGTTGTAACTTTCCAGAATTCAACACTCACTCGCTTGCTGATGAAGTTTTCATAAATTTGCAAATAAATATGTCACGCAAAATTCATAGTACCGTCATTTGTGCGGCGGGGGCTACTTTGTGCAAATTCGAATTTGGCATTTTTCAAGTGCTGCTATTCAGTATTATGTTTATTTCACGTTAAAAATGTGTGGAATTTGAAGATAGAAGTCTCTTCTATTACTACAAACATTTTTTCGAATTTTAAAACAATCTCAGAGTGTGTTTCGTTCATCCAATG